GAGGAAGCAGAAGATATTGCAGAAATTATTTGAGTTATTGCTACTGCTCCATCTTGGCTGTGGGACATTGCACACCCTGGACAAATGTCTAAAGATAATATGATTTGTCTGGACAAGTTTCTGGATGGATATAAAATGTTCATTTAGAGGAATGGGTGATTAGTCTAAATTTGAAGGACGTAATGAAACATGTCTTGGGTACAATAATTGCTTATGTCAGCAAATGTGTGGCAAACATTCTTCATTCTTACTCTCTGGAAGGTTTTTAGGCCACCTGGACTTCCCTTGACATCGGCTCATTTGCCTACATGCAAATATAAAAATCATGTTATCTTTATTTTACCTTTCAGGCTCGTAGTAAGGATGATGCAGGTGGTTGCTGAATCCAGAGGAGTCTCCAGCCCAGGGGTTCTTTGTTGCATCCCAGTTGCTGAGATCCCAGAGGTCTCCCTCTCCCAGTCCCACAGATACATCCACTTCTGTTCCCGTTTGGGAACAGAAGGGCCGGTGGGTAGGCTGAGGTTCCTGTGTGTGTACAAGCGACTCCCCCCACACTCCTATACGACATACACCTTACGTGCAGATAACCCAGTCCTGCTCTTCTCCACTGGTCTGGACTGAGGTTCCCTATAGAAATGCCACACCTTTGGTCTCAGGTTCATAAGTTCAGCCACATTCATGGTCCCCCAAACATCAGTATGGCCTTCAAGTCCGTCTAATATCCCCGTGCGGACCCGAACCCTCTTACCGGGGTATGGGTCTCCTCTCCTCGATGCCACCCTGGGTCGAAGCTTGCTCGTGAGGTTTATGTAACCCAGGGTTAAACTGACGGGGCACACGAACCTGCAGTCCTCTCTCCTTGGCTGCTGCCACTCACACCTTCTGGCACCCGCACACAGCGCTGAAATCCGCCCCCGGGGCAGGGACGGCCGCGGCGGTGGCCCGGGCTGAACCGCGGGGGTGTGTTTTAAGGCTCCGTCGCTGGGGCCGCCCCCCAGCTCGGTGGGTCGGTGCTGCCCGACTGCCCTCCAGCCGCTCCTCACCCGCCCCGGTCCCGTCGGGAGCGGCTGCAGCACCGCCCGCCCCGCCATGGGATGCTCCAGCAGCGCCCGCAGCCGCCCCCAGGAGCCGCCGCCGCCGCGGGGTGAGCCGGGCCGGGGGGAGCCGGGCCGGGGGGGCGCAGAAGGGGGCTGAGGGTGGGGGCCACGGTGCTCTCAGCCGCGGGGTAGTTCTGTCCCGTCCCGTCCCGTCCCGCCGCGGCTGCGCGTCCCGCAGAAACCCCACGGGGCAGGAGCCCGTCGGGCTTCTCCTGGTTTCTAATTCTGCCTGAGCTGTGGATGGAGTTGTGCCTCGTGAGCGATGCTTCGAAACTGCTGTTTCTTATGAATGAATAGCTAAGTCCCCTTCCGCTCCTCTCCATCGGCTTTTTTTGTTTGTTTGTTTTCCTAATTTCCAGGCAGGTCCTGCTGTTGGCCGTTTCGTATAGTACCTATTCAACCTAGTGCCTTCTTTCCCCCCTTAAAAAAATAATGAACTAGCAATACCTGACCCCACTATCCTTCCTGGTTTTTGACAAAATCAACCCTGACACCATTTGCAGCACCGGTAATGTACCCGTGGCTTTGACTGGCTCAAGTCACAGCAGACTAATTTTTTGTGCAAGATGTATTTGTAGGATGTTACATACGAATATCCTTGCTATTCAGTGGAAGTAAAATAAAACTTTGTTTCCATATCCATCACGCTTAGCTCTTTGCTCCAAGGATGGTTTGGAAATACTTTCATATGAACCCAAATGCTACAGTTACAGATACGAGAAAGATACTTCCTGAAGACATATACATAAAGGTTGTTTGCATTTCATTTTGCTGCATTTCTTTCTTATATTCTCGGGTTATAAGTACCATTTGTTGCTGTTACTCTGGCTGCAGCATCCATGTTTTCCATATGGGTTTATTTCCCCTGTGTTGCCTGGCAGTGCTGTGGCTTGTGGCTGCAGAGAGGATAGCAGGTTGTGTGGGGCGAGTGTTGTCAGTGCCACTACAGAGCCAGCTTACATCTGCAAACTCAGGAACCCATCTGAAAGTACCCAGCAGAAGTCTCTTTATCCTGTGCCTGCTGTCTTGTTCACCTGGTCAATGTACCAATCCCTCTGCCTTCCCATCCTCCACTGAAAGATGTCTGTACAGGGACACTGAAGGGAAATAACTGCAGTAATTTTTTCAGAGTATTTTACAAATTCTGTCTAGATGCCTGTTCATGTCAGGATAGGTTATGAAATATAATAAATCCGTAAACTAATGTCGTGGTAAGGATGAAGTGCGGTTTGTAATTACAGCTGAAAGATCTCCATTAATTGGGCAGTTACCAGAGAGATATGTCAATAATTTTCATATTTAGTTTAATAAGAAAGGATAATTTAATAAAAAAAACCAAAACAACAAAAAACCAAACAAAAAACAACTTATCCAAATGTGTTAATGTGGGAAAATGTATTTAATTTCCTTCCAGTGATGTGTAACTCACAAAAATCTGAGGCTTTTCCAAAAGGAAAGAAAGAAGGCAAAGGGAAAAATACTGTAGCCATGGCCCACTTGAATTCACTGTGTTTGTCATTGTTTTTCCATCTGAAATTGTCAACAGAAGGGAAAATAAAAATTATAAATTTAAAAATGAAACAAAACTAGCCAGAATTTTAGGAATGTTGATTGCCACATGATGTTCATTCTTCTTGGGGATAAAGGTATTGAACAGATTACTCTGAGGATTTACTTTTTTCCATATTAGGGAATTCTTTGCATTTCAGATGAGAGCAGAGGAATGCTTCCAGGGTTTCCAACAGTGCAGATCTCATGTTGCATGGCAGTATTTTATAAATCCAATTTATATAAAACATCTTGATGAAGAAAAGGCTAGATGGAAATTATAAGGCTGATATTTATAGAAGCTGCAGGAGATTCCTAGTAATAATAGGTCTGAGTTTGTTGTGGTTTTGGTTTTTTTTTTTATTGCTAACACCAATTGAAAACACTCTAATTTGAATTGCTCATTTATTTCTGTCCATAGGTTTTAAATGCTCCTAACACCAAGCAAGGTGAAGGCATCTAGAAGTGTCCAAAGAGATGAAAAATAAGAATGTGAAAAGATTCAGTCCATGGTCTCTTAGCATACATTTCTTTTTTTTAATCACTGCTTAGAGTAGCTTAAGATTTACTTGTTATTATTCCAGTTGGGTTATCTGTTTCACCTTGAGCTTTGTGTTAGGAAAATGAGTACCTAGAAGATGAGGTGTGATAGAGATCTAGAGAAGGTAATTGGGGGAAATATATTTGCTGTTTCTTGTAACACAAGAACTGTCATTCGATGAAATGACTTGCATCAGGATTAAAAACAGCCAGAATGTGTTTTGCAGGGGTTATAAGTGGGCTGCAGCTCTCATTGCTGCTGGTCATGGTGGTGGCTGAGAGTAAATGGATTGAAAAGAGGCTTGAGGAATGTCCACTGATGGACTGAAGTCAGCCCTGTGGGTTGGGGCCATCAGCCCTTTCCCAGTCCCTTGGCAGCTGTCAGAGGCTGGTGCTGCCCTTTGGGGGCTCTGTGGTCCAACATGTGCAGATGAACTTATCTCCTGTTGTTCAAGTTGTCTTATAAATACCCATATCTATGTGGATTTGGAGGGCATGGTTGGAATTTGGATGGGTTTACAGATCTTAGGACAAATGAGATTTTATCTGTGTTGCTTTCTGTACCTCTTGACAGTCCAGATTCCCAGTTCTTGCTTTTCTTCCTGCTTAATCGTCCTTCCCTGTGTCTCTAGGCACATGCTGACTAGGTGACACTTGCTGGCAAGGTGTTTTGCTTGACTGCCTCAAAAGAACTGTGAAGTTACTTTAAAGCAGCAGTATTCAAGCAGTTGTTTTAAGAGCAGGAGGTATTACATTTTTTTGCTGTTCATCTATGTCTGTATAAACACACATAGATGTGTTCATCTATGTGAACAGTATCATATGGTTCTGCTTACTGGCTTTGACAATGCAATCATAATTTTCTCAGAAAATAACATTTTTCCAGTTGTGTAATTATTATATAAACAGATTTCACACATGATTTACTAAGGTTTTCATCCTGACATTCCTTTGAAGAAGATTAACTACAAACTCTTGTCAAATTGAATTTAATCAGAACATTATTAAGTCAGTCTGATAGGTAGGTATAGCTCATTTTGAGTCTTCAACTTTCATACTTAAATACCTGTCAGAGTAATTTTGTCAGTACTTTATTCATAATTTTTTCTGCCAAAACACATTGCTTTACTAGCCAATAAGTTGATGAAAGATGAAAGAAGTGGAAGTGAATTTGTTTAGGCTTCCTTTTATTGAATTTTTTATTGGACAGAGCATACTATGAATGGTAGTTTGGTATTGAAAAAGACAGACAAATTGGTTTTTGTTTTAAGAAGTGGGTACTGCTCATCCTCCAGGATGAGAACATTCTCAGGGTTTTTCATTGAGCCCACCTGGAGGCACCACCAGAATTTTCCCACGTGCAGCCCAGACCAGCAGCTCCCTCACACTCATCACATTGATCCTGTGTTTGGTTTGGGGCAGGATAAGGTGCTTCCTTGCATAGTGTCCCATCTACTGCAAACCACCTGCATACTTCAGATTCATAAGGCAAAACGTAAACCGGTCAGCTCTCTTTATACAAAAATACATCTTATGCTTCAAATGAAAACTTCCTTTTAGTGTAAGAGCAGCACCATCCTCTGTGGGACATTTGTGGATATGTGCAGCACACCTGTGAGAGGGTATTGTTCCTAACCAGGAGGGAGCTCTTTGACAGGTAGTGCTCGTGTGGTGCACTGTGGGTTTAGTTTTCATCGAGCTTACTACTCACCAATTCTCTTTTTTCTTTCTTTGCCCTTCTGCAATTAAAAGCATCATCAGGTGCAAACACCTTGGCTGCAGACGATCATGAAACCATAGCTGACCAAACACAGTTGGACCCAGCAGAGGATGTGAGCCTTGCCTCTGAGGAGACAAACCCAGGGGAGCATCTGCCAGGAGAGGAGGCTGCAGCCATGATTCTAGATGTTGAGGAGAAGACCGATTCAGTCAGTAAAAGGGAGGAACCGGAGGGCACCGAGCCTGAGCCTGCAGGAGCAGAGGAGAGCTCTGAGCTGCCTTCTGTGTGGAGAGAGGAGAGCAATGGGCCTTCCCCTGCAGCACCAGAAGATGTTGGGGCACCATCACCAGGACCAGCTGAGGACAGTGGGCTGGTAGAGGGCAGTGACAGCTCTGTAGTGGAAGCCATCGATAAAGTACATATTACTGAAGAGGATCACCTAATTGAGGGTAATATTTGTGCTTTCATAAATTCAGGAGACCGAATTTTGCCTCCAGAGACTTCTGTGCGGGTACTTATGACTTTACTAAGAGCCTCTCAAGAGCTTCTGGAGTCAGAATTTGGTCCTGGGAGTCTGTACTGTGTGGAACATAGAAGAATGTGGCTGAGGAAGCCTCAGATTTACAAGTCCAAGCTGTAATAAATTTAATCAGCATTTCCAGTCATTATCTCTGCTACTTCATTTCATGTCCTTTTTGTTCTTAGCAGGTAAAGAGCCCCACCATGCCCCTCATTTAAAACACTGTGTCTCTGTATAGCTCAGACACATCCCTTAATGTTTGCAGAGCCCAAAGACTCTATTACTTAGTCACAGGTATTAGTTACAAAGTAACTTTCCCTGGGCACGTAAACTTGGAGGCTTCATGGATGTATAAGAAAAAAACCTCTTTGATGTATGCCTGGCATATCCAGTCTGTCCTAGAGCCTTTGCTACTAGACAAGCTAAATAGAAGTAGTAGCAGAGGGACATTGGGCTGGGCTTTCAAAAAATGTCTTGAGATGACTAGCGGTGGAGGAAGGCTGCATGAGGAGGCAGTGGTGTCTGAGATGGCAGATATTTCCACGTGCAGTGAGAGAGACCTTTAGTGGGAGATGTGCTTGTTCCTGAAAATTGTAGGCTATGCTCATCTTTAGGTTAGTGCCCAGAGAACATACATAAGGACCGCAGATGTAAAAGTTGAACACTTCACAGGAGGAGTCGAATTTCTCCTGAACTGCACATATTAGCTCGGTAGGGAATCAGATACATCCTGGGGGAGCTTTTTTTCAGGGAACAAGCAAGTGAAGCACAAGGAGGAATATTTCTCTGCAGGGAAACATGGTATCAGAAGCCTTTCTCACTCCACATTTGTCTTGAAGAAATGCAAAATGCAGGAGAAGGACTGGTCTGTGGGAAGTCCAGAATCAGTTACATACACTACCACTAATCCTGTGGCTTTGCTCTGCATGTCTCTGAACTGGCTGTATAAATCTCACTCTTTGCATTCCAGTAGCTGAGCAAGGTGGTTGGCTTGCTTTGTCCTCTCCTGTGTCTCTTCACAAAAGAATTTTTAAGTTTCTCCTACATAAAACAGGCATCTATCCTTAGGCATAAAGCCTCACTTTATGTAAGCAGTAAATGACAGGATGCTCACCTGTTAAACACACAGTCTTGTCTAGTTGCAAACTCATTAATCACCATTCTAAGCCTCAGGGCAGAATGCTGAAGGCAGAGCAGCACACACTGAACATTGCTCTGCCACCTCATGTCTGTGCAAACACTTTTACAGTTGACTGTTTGGCTGAAGGTGAGCTGTGGGGCTTTGAGCACCAAAGGACGTGTGCAGGACCAGTGAACAAGACTTTTGGGAAAAAGGGTTTTGCTCCTATTACTTCCAAGCTAGAAGTAATAACTTGTGTGCATTCTCTTTCCATGAGGCATATGATGAAGAGTCTTCACATTTTTATGCTGTGGTGCATAGGATACTTAGCATTTGTTTAATTTTCCTTTATGCTTCCATAGCTTCCATAGTGTGAGGAAATGAATGAGGCAGTAACTTCCCAGGGAAAGCACATATTCAGCCAGACTGGCATGTTACTGTGTTCTCTATTTCTGTTTAATTCGAATTGCAAATAAAACTGCACATCTATAAAACAAAATCAAGAGAAAATAATTGGAACAGAAATAGTACTCATGATGTCATTTGGATATAGCATCAAGGGGATTTTGTGAAAGCATAAGGAGAACTTCATGGGCATGAGGCATGCATGTAGCTGGATGGGATCACCCTGTTTGTTCTCTATGGATTCATTCAGGGAGTACCTTGGTAAGGGGCATTGGAGAGCTGACAAAGCAAAATCAGGTTTACAGAAGGGAGATGGGGCACTTGGTGCTTTTCTCAGTGGATGCTAATTTGATCTCCATGGTTACCATTCCCAGGTGAGACGGGAGAACAGGTGGAAACTGAGCTGCTCAGTGAGACAGTAAGTGGAGGGCCTGAAACAAAAGAAGAAACAGGAGAAGCTGTGGATAGTGCAGCAGCGACAGACATGGGTACGTTGACAGAGGAGGGAAAGACCACATGGGTTATTGTTTAGGAGACAGAAAAGACTCTGCTGTCCTTAATGAGCACTTCTTGTCACTCTCCTACCAGCAGGCAGCTGCTTTCTGCATTTTAACATGAGAGCATCAAAAATACTTTGGTTTACCTTAAGAGACATTTTTGGAAGCAATCAATTGGAAGTCATGGTTTTTACATGGATTGTCTTTATACAATACATGAACCTTACCAGAGATACATTATCCAGCTCTGGAGAGAATGCTAGACTGTGACATGCAGTCTTGGAAAATAAAAACCTGTGTTAAAATCATGACTCTGGCTCATTATTATTTGCAGGCTTCTTCTAAGATAAGCCTTGAAGCTGTTTTGTGATTTCGATTCTATGCCAGTCATTTTAGATCCGCTTGTTCTTCATATCAGCTGGAATCAGCAGCATGGTGCTGCGGGGAAAGCACATTGCACAGCAAATGCAGTCACATGGTGGGAAGGAAAAGTCAGAGGCCAAATAAAGTGCCTTTGAAAATTGGTCACACCAGTGAAGAGAAAAATTCGAGGGGATGGGATTATCCCTCTGGCAGACTTTGAAATTATGGTAACAATTCTATCAACACAGTCTTTCTGCAAAAGTTATTTCTTTTTCTTCCTCCACATTCACTAAGAATCCCACACTCAGGTCCATCACATAAGGCGATTACGTGCCTCAGAAGACAGAAGTGGAATAATAGAATTATTTAAGTTGGAAAATACTTCTAAGATTGAGTCTAGCTGTTGGCCCAGCACTGCCAGGTCCACCAGTAAACCATGCCCCTGAGTTCCACATCCACATGTTTCTTAAACACTTTCAGGGATGGTGATTCCACCACCACAGATTACCCTGTGGTATTGCTGGAATGTGGAAATGGATGAGCAGGCAACACAGGCACCTCCTCTCTTTCCCCGCTAAACGTTATTGCATGACTGAAACCACCTTTACTCTCTGCCCTCCCTCCTAACCACCAGCCTACGTAGCTATGCTCAAAATCTCTCTGGGATAGTTAGTATTTCTGTATTTGAGGACAGATTTAGCAGAAAGGGTAGTAGATACCTTACACCAGTGCCTTTCATGACTTCCAGATGAACACCTTGCAACTGGGATGAGAAGTCTTTGGTTCCTTCCCAGTGCTGTTATGCACCAGTATATGCTAGTATATGCCAGCTTTGAGCTCCCAGCAGCAAACCAGCTTGTGCTACAAGACTAAGGAAAATGTTTTTCAGCACAAGCACTGCAGCCTGGAAGATCAATATTGTGATGGTCTAGCAGTTTGGTCAAGGCCATTTATGCCATATAGCTTTGCTTATGAACTCAAAACAATTCTATTCAATCAACGTGCTTTTAATGTCTTGTCCATACGCTTTTGCAAAGAATTATCTGTCTGTGCTGAGTTCAGCAAAGCATTTGAATCTGAGAGAATCAAAGAACAGCTTAAAACCAGCTTCCTGCTTCTGAAGAGTAAGAGAATCATAAAAAGGCTTGGATTGCAAAGGACCTTAAAGATCATCTAGTTCCAGCTCTCCTGCCATTAGATCAGGTTGCTCAGGGTGCCATCCAACCTGGCTTTGAATACTTCCAGAATCCAGAAATTTCATCATGTGATGATTACAGCTTTATTGAAATACTTTCTGCATTTTCCTGCTTTGACAATATTCTCCCCAACAGTTTTGTAGGGAAGCAGAAAAAGCAGCCCTGCTTCTGTGTCTGTAATGCATTTCAGATGATGGGAGTGCAGTGATGCACACAGCTCAGAGAATGGCTGTGGGCGAGAAGAGAAACAATGTTAAGAATGGAATAGTGACCATTTAAACCTGGCATGCTGTTGTGTAAGGGAGCAATTCTTTCATCTTGAAAGGATATTGAAGAACTGAAACAAGATTCCGGGCAGGGAAACAGAATGGCTTAAGGGAATGAAAAAATTCTTACTTTGAGAGACATCAAAAACATTCAGAGCCTTGCCTCTGAAAGGGTACGACTAAGAGGATATGAGCTTTTCCTAGTGCAAAAAAAATACTGCTCTAAAGGTAGCTGCCATCCATCTCTTGGTAAGGGAATGCTCAGTGACATGCTAAGTGTGTTGAATTAAAAAAATTCAAAACCATTAAAGGTAGTTGGCTATTTTTCATGTTATATTAGCAGTCTTCACGCAAATTAACTGTCCTTGTCACAGTCAGTCACTGCAGTTGGATGTCTGTCACTCACCTTCATTCCCATGCAAATTTCCCACCTTCCCTGTCTTCCCTACCCACCCTCATGGAACACCACTATTCATTATGAGGAAGTCCCATGTTCTCATGTTCCCAATCTATCCTCACAGTGTCTTCTGGCTGGGAAAGAAGTACTTTGAACTTGGGTGGTCTGACACTGATTTCAGCCAATCATCCCCTTGGACACCTTTTTTTTTAGCTATCAAGGAAGCCAGTGAGCCTCAGGGCTTCTCAGCTGCTGATGGTTAAGATTGGTAGTTTCAGGGGCTGGTTCCCCAACCATACTTTATCACGGAATGGCTGAGGTAGAAAGGTGCCTCTGAAGCTTGTCTAGTCCTGCTCCAAGCAGGGTCAGCTGGAACAGGTTGTCCTGTTGGGATTTGAATCCCCAAGGATGGAGATTCCATAAATTGTGGGCAGCCTATTCTCATCAGTCAATTGTCGTTAGAGGAAAAAAAAAAAGAAAATATTTTCTTACATTGAAATGTAATACTCTGTTACTCCAATTTATGCCTTTTGTCCTTATTTAAGATTTAATGTCCATGAGATACCTGCCTCTATGTCAGATATGACTGAAAGGATGTAGTGATTTCAAAAGTTGTTAGGAGAAAAGGCAGCAGGGTGGGGAGGAGCACGAGACTGGTGCAGCGTAACGCAGAGGTGATGTTAATGCCCGTGAGAGGAAGATTGTATGAACAGGATGGGGCAAGAGGAAGCAGAGCCAGTGCCTGCTTGTGGTCATGTCAGGTCCACACAGAACGTTCTTACAGATCTGGGAGAAGAACAGATACCCCCTTCATCCTGTGATGCTTCCAGGGAACTTTCACTTTGAATTCTTGTGAGATTTTGTGAATATCATGTTGTACCTTCAATTAATCGCTAAATTAATTTTTCCATGTGTTTCAGAGACAGCTAATAACAAGGAATAGAAGTTATGTCTCTATGACCATCCTCTTCTTGGGCCTGCTCTTCTGTCCACATGAACATTTAAAAATTTTATTGGGTTGGGAAAATAGAAAAGCTTTTATGGATTGAGCCACAAGCTACAGACACCTGAATAAAAGGCATCAGAAAAATTTTTACATAATGTAAATATTTTTTAGTTCAAGCTGCCAAGACCTCAAGTGTTTGAAATACCTAAACTTCTACCACCCTTCCACAGAGTGCCTTCTGTACATGGTTTGATAATTTTCCAAAAGCATTCAGTTTTCAATTAGGATTTTTTTCCAGGTTCAGATAACTAACTTCAAACCTTTTATACCTTCAATCAGCCTTATATAGGATAAAGAATACAGTGCAGATTTTTTTTTTTAAGTGATTGTAATGCAGGCAATGGGCAATTTCTCTGAATGCCTGGACTACCAGTGTACAGAGCTGCTGAAGTGTATAGCTTAAAGGACTTAGAAGGACAGACCTAGAGAACTGGGAGATGAAAGTGCCCATTTACCAGGCTGTAACTAAATGCAGAGGTTAGTTTTCCAGAAAATAGAAGATAACAGGGTGCATTGCCCAGGACACAAGTGCTATGTGCTGCTCACTCCCCATTTTTAAACATAAATTTATTGAAAGGATAGTAGCACAATATATGTGATGACTTCTGCAAAAACAGGGAGAAGAGGGCATTTTTAACTGAGTAGGATGTTTTAGTCACATAAATCCTAGAAGAAAACTTCACAGCTGTTAGCATTTATGGTGATTAACAACCTGTCTTTAGCTGTGTAGCTCTCTTCATATGCATTTGTGGCTCCTAAAATAGATTTCTAACCAGAGACAACTATGAGCCTGTTCCCGAAGGAGAGGTCATCTATTATATTTCCCTGTAGTGCTGTCCTCCCGGAGAAGTATGCTAGCAGGGACTGTACAGGCTATTTTCCAAAATGCTAAATAATCATTTGGAGCTGAAGCTGAATAGCAAAGCTTTCAAACAAATTTCCTGTGAAAACGGGTCCTAAATATCATTAGTGTTATGGATCAGATAGAAAGTAGAAATTTGTTCTGATGGTGAATGTTGCAAAGGGACTATATATTGTATATTACTGGGGACTGTGTTAACAGGATGCTCTAGCATAAGGAAGTAGAACATGGAAAAAAGGTCATTTACCTAAAAAGAGCAAGCACATGTTGCTGTTTTATTAGCTTTATTGCACAAAAGGACTTAACAACATTTTGTACTGTCACTAGTAAATTATATAAAGCCCCTCTAAGAGCTAAATTTGTGCTGCATGTGCACATCTGACCCCAGCTGACTCTGGTTTGTATCACATAATCTAATTGATATCCTTGGGCTATCAGCCTTTGTGTAAGCTGATATAACTTGGCTATATCACTAAATCTAAGGTTTTCTGCTTTGTAGCCCTCTTTTGAACTTGTCAGCTTCTTTAATGTCAGCTTCCTATAGGCAACACCATAAACTTTTAGAACCCAAATGCATATTTACTATTTTTTTAAGGAATGCTTTGCTAAGTGGAAGTTGCTTTTATTTTATTTTTATTTTTACTAGCTTTCTATAATTGAGAAGCTAAAACGAGCAGCTATTTCTATTAAAAATTTATGAGATCTATTAATAAAGTGAGAGTTAAAAACACAAAGAGAGGTAGTCAAAACATGACAAAAATTCATGAGAAACATACCATGCACTTTGGAGAGTTGAGCAGTCAGGGGGCAGGTACTGAGCAGGATGAGGACAGTCCCAGGTGATACAAGACCAGGTGTACATCCAGAGTCTAGGATGCCCCAGTAATTTCCACCTTCAGCTGCACCTCAGGACTGATTTCCTCCTGTGAGCTGGGAATTCAGGTCAGCCCCCAGCACCTGTGCCAGCACAGCCCCACTCCCAAAGACAGGAGACTAAAATGGTGGAGGAGCCATGCTGACTACTTGTAAGATCACGAGCTGCAGTTTGACCAGCTATATTAAACAATTTTAAAGCATAAACCAGGAAGAGTTCTGTGACAGAGATCAGTAGTATTCACAGCAACAGAGGAGGCTGCACTTGGAAATGAAATGTGAAGATACAAGGGAGTCAAAATAACCTGCTCACCTCAGAGTCACTCTTTTCTACCGCTGTTGTAACAAGGAAGATGGGTGACAATAAATGTTCTTACCTCATTGTTCAACTTTGTCAGGTCAGTGAGCAATGCAAATAGAAAAAAGATAAATATAAACCAGTCAATGACCCAACAGTATCAGCCTTTCTCAATCATCTTCATGCTTACATACTCTATAATTACAACAGATGAAAGCTAAATATGCTTGATACTTTGTTAAACATGAAAAGTTAAATCACCTAAATTCTTACAATGCAGACGCTAAATAGATACTGAACATCCCTGCCTTGAGAAACAAAACATTCCTACCTTGAAAATTTCATTGGGGTCTAATATTCATGACCTGTAAGCTACCAAGGCATGTACCATGGATAAAGGGCCAAAATGCAGTTATTTTTATTTGCCTCTGCAAACCTGGGACATCACAGAGGTTCCCAAGGATAGAAATTGGTCTGTGTATCAAAGAGCTTTCTCATGTTAAAGGCTGGGAAAAGGATATGCTCCAATGTCTATTTTTTTTTAACACAGGCAAGCATTTTTGAAAATTGTTTTGTATTTTATCAAAAGCTGGACGATCTTCAGCCCTCAACTTCATCCAAGGTAGAAATAATTAATTCATGCTGCAGGGAGAGCTGGGCAGGACACTTGATGCAACAAACTGGTTTTTCCAAACTAACAAGGATGTTCTGATAGAAATTGTTTTCTAATCACCAATAAGCACAGTCCTAGAAGAGGTTAAATTTGCACCCTGTCAGCTCCGTGCAGGCACATAAGATCTGCTCTGCACCCTGTAAGATCTCAGAAGATACTTGGCCATCTGACTGGCTGGGGTTGGCTCTTTCACTCACTGAGGAGCTGCTTTCAGGTAAACACTGCAGCAAGAGCAAGTGCTTGTAGCAGAAGATTAGGGCAGGTTAAGTCCTTTAAGAGAACAAAGTTAGAACTTTATTTTTGCATTGTTTAATCTATAGAGAATATAATCATCTGAAGAAGAAAAAGGTCTACTAAAAGAAACACCTGGTACAACATGCATGTTTCGGTATTTCTTCACTTTCACAGAGAGAGAGGACCAGTTTTGTTGTGGTTTTTCTGTTACATGTGATGGAAAGAAATTTTAAATGGTGAAAATGGGATGCCACCAGCTGAATTGCAACTTCAGATTGTTACATGCTAGTGGCTCAGTCTAGCAAACAAGAAAAGCTGTGTTTAACTTGCCTCTACTTAAAACAGGTTTTATGAAATATCCATGTACTAAGTAGTTTGTATGCTAAGACCTAAGAGATAGCCATGATACTTGCTTTTCGTATTAGAGAATCAGCCTTTTTGCTTTAAGGAATAGAATCAAATCATATAAGTCTGCTTAAAAAAATAAATGTTTTAAACACCTCTATGGAAGGCTGATTATTTATGTTGAGAACTATTATGTTATAGCTGTAAATAAGAGAGGTTTTTTCAGTTATTCTAGACTTCCTGTACCAGAAGAATATGTATTTAGATCAGAGCCATTCAAGAAAAGGCTCTGATCTAAACATGAAGTCTAAAAAATACACCTGGTCTCCACCTAAAAAATCGTAAAGCAAAAAGTGAATTTTAGTTCCTGACTTTTTGCACTGATAATAACATTTTTAATGGAATCAATGTGTTCTGCCTTGTTAGCTGCATTGAGAATGCATTTTTTCCTGGTGTTTCACTTACACTTCAGTCTCAGACCAACCCTTACTACATAAAGGAATGGTGTATTATCATTACTCCTCCTATGGAAGTCTCCAAAAGGAGTTCTATAAAGGGCTTACATCAGCCAATGCACAAGTCAGCACACCAAAAAAATATCGAAACTGCCATCTAGTGTTACGTTCAAGGTTGGCAAAGAGGCAGCACAGCACAGGTAAGGCACTGGGAGGTAAGTGAGAGGTAAGAAGGGATAACCACAGCGATTATACAAAGCTGAACTTAGCTGATGTTCAAGACTATTGGAATCGGCTGATTTATGGGAACTTGAACTGTTTGAACTACTACAAATAAGTGAAAAAAATTCGAACAAAGCAATTATATGTGAAAAAGCTGTTACAGAGAACCCCAAATATAAATTAGAAATTCAACTCCATTTAAATGGAGTTCATATGTAAATTCACTCAATTATATTATTCTTAACTCTTACTAATTGACAAAGTGAAGCAACATCTGCTCTGTGTTTCCTAGAAAGTCATATCCACAGTAGTACTAACTCCTTCCTAACAAGTCTGACCATGTGTTTTCTTAGGTGGAATTGCTTATTGAGTCAAAGCTGTAGAGTATAAAGACATTAACAGTATAGCCAAAGAGTCAGAACAAAAGCACAAGCCAAAACTAATAAAGTTTATGTGTAGGAATTTTGTTTGCAGGTTTGAAAGGTTGTTTGGAAGTTCACTGTTTGAAATACTGAAAGCATTATTTTGCTTCTAATAAAAATAAGTATTGTCCATTTTTTCAAGGGAAAACAAGATAATAGTGTAAAATATCACACATCTGTATATGCCTGCTGTGACAACTCATAATGAATCTTTTTTCTATAAAGATACAATCTATAAGCTCAGTGAAAAGCAGAAACAGCCACTTTCCATCACATCCAAGGAGGGTTAAATAGGGTTGACTTTCTCACAACTTTCCAATGGCCATTCTGGTGTATGCTAAAGTGATACCAGGAATGCATGAAAAATACAAAATATTCGTACTGCAGCTGAAGTAACAAGATCTGGAAAGCATAGCTGGTGAGCAGGAAGGTAACAAACCACAAGTGGGACACCTACAGTTTATCCAAGGATGGCAGATAGTTCACACAGTGTGGCTGTGGTGTTGAATGCTGGGGGATTTTCAGACAAGGCAACATCTGCACGTGCCACGGCAAGATTGACAGCAACAAGGTGCTGCCAGATTGGACTCTTCTTGCGTGCTTACCCTATGAAAATCAACTCTGCCGTGAGGCAGCTGACTTTCAAACAGATACTTAAAACACAATATCCATTTCTACTTGGTTAGATCAGTAGGGATGGGATAACTTACTAGCAGCACCAGTCAGACTTCTCAGTATGGCTTAATCACCCCATGAAACTGATGTTTCTGATCTTAATGGCAGCAAAAAAAGAGCCAAGAACCATAATGCCACAATAGCCAAAATCTTCCTGTCTTGGAGAATTTCATCCTTAGCTATTAGGAGTGAGATAAGAAGCCTGCTCTTCTGGTTCAAATAATTTCTTATTGAATAAGCAAAATGGGGATGTTTTTTTATGATGGATAATCAAAGCAAAATCAGGAAAAGACGTTTGTTCCCAGAACAGACAAGCACATTTTTGCAGTTGCAATTATATTTTATTCTCATTAAACTCTTTTTTTTTTTTTTTTTTTTTTGGTGGATTTTACTTGGTTTTTTTTAAAATCAAAACACAGTCTAAGTTGAATTGCTATGAAAAAGATTATGAAAAAAGGTCAGGTAGATAATTATTTACAGCTGATTTATAAAGTTAGCACTTCAGAGAAGCATAATTTTCTTATTTCTGAAATTAATATTAACTTTCTTAAACAATTGCTTACATATGAAAAAAATGTGAGTCCCAACAGTAATCTATGTAAAGAAAGAGGTTAAGACAATTCAGAAACAAATAAAATTCCCCAAAAGTGAAGATACGTCCTAAGCAATTCAAGTGTTCTGTTTTCTCATTTCTGTCATTTTTTCTTATTTAAAATTGTTACTTACAAATCACGATATTTTTCTATGTCCAGATCACACATAGCGTAACTGTCATAAGTTCACCCAAACGTGTAGCTGAATATACCTGAATGTCCAGTGACCATCACAAAGGCTGGGCCCTGTCCTGCAATCAAGATCAGCTGATTTTAGCAGGACTCCCACAGGTTTCAGGCTTTGCCAGCAGAGAACTCATATTTTAGAGAATCCAAGGCCCCAGCCCAGAAGAAGGCACTTTCCTTGGTAAATTTACTACTTTCAACTGTATGGAACAGCTGTTAGTCAACTGTAGGAATCGGATGTAAGGGAGAAGTACTAATCAAATCCAAAACTGCTGTTGTGGGATATCCAGTCTCTATTTATAGTCAGGCTGAAGCATCTTGGAGGGGTCCCTGAATGGCAATAGCTTCAATCTCAACTCGGGCACCCTGTGACAAAACAAGGAAAGAACACATTAGGAATTTAATGCATCTATTCTATGAAGCAAGTGGATGTACAACACAACCTTGGAAGAACAGTGACATTTGAGAGAGATTACACTTCTGACAGTTGTATTACTGATTTAGCCAGGTTAAGTAATATTGACAATTCACTTTACACTTACTCAAGTATCATAAGCCCTTACTTCTAGTGTTGTAACTATCTTCCACAATAAAGAAATTTATATCTCATATTCAGATCTATGATAATGTGTGGGAATAAGACTGGTATACTTAGAAAAAAGCTAATTAGGAGTCTTCATTCAAATAATTGCAATTGAAACTATTTCAGAATAAGAAAAGCTGTCAGAATGCTTCAGAAGTAAGGTATTTCATAAATGGGTTTTTTTGTAGGCAGAAAAGCGACACTTACTTTGGGTAAAGCAGCAACTTGATAGGCTGCCCTCGCTGGGAAGTTTGCCTTGAAAACTGTAATTTAAACAGAAACATCCACCAATCACTGAACTTTGCTTGATAAAACACAGTTCAAAGTAATCTGTATAAAACGCAATCAATTTGAATAGTTCAAGCCTTCAAGTCTCCTGTGCCAGCTATCATTTTCCCCTTGTTGGTTTGTTTTGGTCACCGACTGCTCTCCCATCTCAGCAAGCCACCATTCATCACTAAGAAGCCAGAGGCAGTTGTGATCTAGTGACCAGTGATACTTGCACTCTGCTGATACTGCAGGGTCTTAACACCAGCTTGGCTGAAAGATTAAATTAGAATGGTGATCTACAATTGCAAACACCAGGGAGTGGGAGACAGCTCTCGCACAGAAAGGGCAAGAGAGAGAAACAGGCCCCTGCCAAAAGTGTTGTGAGCAAAGACCCCAGATTTATGCAAAGTCAACAGGAGTCCAAACTTACTCATCCCAAAGGAAGACAGAGAAAAAATAGGCCCTTGGCCTATTCCTCTGTGCCCACTTAGACCTGGAGCTCACAGGTGTTAGAGCAGGGGGTGAGGCAGGGGTAAGGGTACTTGTAAAGATACAAGAGCTGAATTTGCAGAATCACAGAATAGCTGAGGATGGAGGGAACATTTAAGGCTCACAAAATCATATCCACCACCCCTGCCACAGCCAAGAACGTCTTTCATTAGATCAGGTTGCTCAAAGCCCCATCCAACCTCACTTCAAATGTTTCCAAGAAGTTTGCATAATTAAATGAAACTTCACTCAAAGCCATTAATCACTGAGATAATAACTCACAAGGAAAGAACAGCAACAACTGCTTTCTTGAACTACAGGTAGGAGAAAACACGTAACTAAGCATCCAGCTGGTCTGTTTTTACCCTCCTTAAACACACACACCATTCCATTTTGACATGCAGAAGACTGTGTTGATTGCTCATAAGTGAAAGACTTCATTTAAGATCAGATGCCATTACCTTATTAAAGCCAAAGGAACATAAGGAACTTGTGTGCATAATCTCACGAGTTCTTTTACACAATATGGCCCACTGGCATCACCTATTTCAGTTTACATTCAGTTTTGTTAACCAAGCATTGTCCATTTTTTTCCTCAAGTGGAGCAGCGTGGCTCATCTTTGTATAAAAAACGATCCCTGTGTCATAACAATAACCCACAAATTGTTCAAAGATATAAACAGACTTTGAAGAAATGGAGGTGCAAAATCTAAAATTAAGCATTTGAAGGCCACCTACAGTAGAATTTTATTAGGGACAACAGAGCATCTATAGAGATAGAGGCATGGAAGATCAGCCTGGAGGGATAGCAGGAATTGATCTTCACAGGACAGTGAGTTAGTGGGATGATAGGCCATAAATCTACAAGAAATTAGGCTATGCTTGATCTGATGCTTGCAAATGTTTTTTTTTTAAATTTTTACTGGAATTTCAAACAATATGGAACCGCATCATCTGAGTCAATCAAACACGTTGAATACCAGAATATAATTTGTTACACAAGCCATACTGATAAAATAGAAACAAAATATCTACTTACATTGCTTATAAACATCATTAATATCATTGTAGTCCTTCATGTCTGCCATCAAAACCGTAGTCTTCACAACTAGAAATTATATAAGTGCAGTTATTTTAGACCTCAGGCTTGTATACAAAAGTTGAAAAACTTTAATGCATTTCTTGCTTTTATTTCATAAAGTTCTCTTGAGTATTCTAAACATTTTGGAAAGTTTTGCAAACAGATATTGACCATTAGAGGTACAGCCTAGAGAACCACCAAAACAATCTGAGCACCTTGTATTAATAAAACTTTAAGGACTTGAGGCATTCCTGACCAGCTCTGAAAAAGCCAAAATCTTCCAAGAGGCACAGAACTGACAAGCAAGTCAATTAAAAAAGCTCTTGTAAACCAACTGTTGGCAATAACTTATAGTATATATAATATCTGTTGTGAAAAAAGTCCATAAAAAGGCCTGAAAATATAGTCCATCCTAGAAATTTTTTGCCCACAACTGTCTAAGCCAGCATTAATCCTGGTTTGGCTGCACTATTAGAGTCCTCCCCCCAAAAAGTACTGAAAGTGTCTAGAATATTAATACCATAGACACAAACCTGCTTTTACCTGGAGCAAAACTTAGGATGCTTAAAATGCCTGTAGCCAGGTGCAGCTCTGTCTATACCTAAGCTTTCCCAGCTGGAGTTAAAGTATTAGTACCACTGGCAGAAACTTTCAGTGAAGAGCAGTGTTCCATTGATACCCATTGCAAAGATCACTGTAAAGGTCACTTGATATTTTTGGTATTTTAATTCAGGTAAAAACAGCTACTTGTTTGCCACCATCACAGCCCCACTTACCATTTCCATAGTCACAGCCTGCAGCTTTCAGGATTTCTCCCATGTTTTTTAGAGCCTAAGGAAAATGGAACAAAAATCTTTTAACTATCAGCTGGGTTATATTTATGTAAGTTTGTAAATATGACTTGTAACTTCGCTGCATCCATGTTATATTGTAAGTTCACCCAGCAAAACCTCAACTGTCAAAACTGACCACAATAAAAATTAATAAAACCATAAATATTAAACCATCCATTCATTAGATGTAAATTTATGATGCAGCTCCATCTCATCCTATTCCACCTCATTGCTTCTGAGGGAATAAATCTTTGCCCAACTCAAGCCAAGGTTTTTACAGGGGTGTGAACCTTTCTTACAAACATCGATTCTTTCTTACTTTCCTATATAGAAACACAGATTCCTCCCCTGACCTCCAAGTTGTCCAAGCGGAAAAAAGACAGGGTTAGGATAGAATGACTTTTTCTTGCTTTTTCCTCATCTGGAGGATGTAAAATGCACTTTCTAGTCCTCTCAGTTTCTCACAAGTCCATGTTTAACTAAACATGTGGCAACCCCAGTACAATTCATTGCTAGAAGACTTCTTACCTGCTTAGCTTCCTCCTTTGCCCCTCCAGAGACGAGCTGCCCGGTGGAGGGTTCTAAGCCTATCTGCCCCGCAATGTACATTGTCCGGTCCACCAGCACGGCTTGGCTGAAAACACAGGTCACAATGTGGGTTTAATGTTTCCCCATGAAAACATCCAAGTATCTGAAAGCACATTTCAGATTTTCTACAGTAGTTTATAATATCTCAGAAAGAGGACTGAGGTTATGCACACACAAGTCTGTGCACACAGTCATACACTCAATTGGTGTATGCTTTTGGAAGTGCTGGGATTAGACCCTCTATGGAATTGCATGGATCTGGTTTTGAGGAAATAAATCCCATTTCTTGTGAAGGTTCAGGATATGAATGCAGCAACACAGCACTAAACTGACCTATAGATTCCACACTGCAGATAGCACAGAAGCAAGGCAGAGTAAATAGACACTTTTTGCACATGCCCAGATAAATATTCCATGCTAGTTTGAAAGCAGACAATACCTTTTATCTACATCTCAGCTGCAGAGCAATGAGGGGAATGAAGGGGGGGAAAAAACACAAAAAAGAAAAATCATTTAAGAGTTTTCTTCTCAAACAGGCACCATGATAACAAGTTACAGCTGTGAGGTGACACCCTGCCCACTAGTACTTTGGCAGTATTTCCCCATAGTAATGAATTTGGCCAGTCAGCAAAGCACCTGGATCACTCCATCCCCAGAACAATCACTCTCCTCTCACCAAATAACCTGAGTGACCTGTTGGCTGGGTTAATTCAGAATAATGCAGAGTTAAAGCTAGTTGCAAAACATTTTTATATAAACGTCAGGTGTGTTTTTGCTGAAGTAGAATTAGCAATTATTAATGTCTCTAGTTACACAAAGAGATTAAAAGATTAAAACAAAGATTTAACTACCTAGCAAACATTATGCAAGAGACATAATTTAGTTCTCTTCAGCCAGTAATTAAAAATATTTTGCAAAGGAATTAGAGAAAGATTTTTTAAAGTGTTTGTGATGCATCAACACCGTTTTTCTTATCTCTTCCATTCCACAAGAAAATGCACTGTTTTGACCATTCAACAAGTCTCTTAAGCTACATAAACTAGCCAAGAACCTTCCTGAAGTATCTGAAGGAATTTAGCTTCCCTTTAATGTCAGTAGAAAAAGAAATGGACACTTTCAGAGTATGTTTTATTACATCTCTTCTCTCAACTGAGATTGACTCAGTTGGATTGTTTCAATGCAACCTCACAGGGGACACACCTGATTTAGGGACTCAGTAAAATGATTAGGGTCAGGAAGTTCAAACAGGGCCATCATTCCCATCTTTCCTTTCATCCCTGTCCTACATTCTCCTGTAATTTTATAAGGGGAAAAAACAGACAGTAACTTACTGGATATGGTAAAATATCTTACGTGACAACTCTTTTTACTGTCATCAACTAACAAAACTGGAGTAAGTCACAGAACTACACCATTTAAAGACGAGAAACTAGTGAATAAAGTCGTTTTCCAGCTGACACAATCTTGCTGATAGAAAATGTGTGCCTGTACACACATGCTTCCTTAATTTTCTTTGCTACCATGTTCTGCTTTGTTTGAGGCACAGCCCCTCAGCACATAAACTTCTGTTCTGTTTGAAGCACAGAGAACCATGCAACAATAAGGTATGAGCCCTCTAAAGAAAAAAAAAAGACATTGTCTTGTACTGCTTATTATAAAATGAATGACATGACAAGACGTTTATCTCAACAGAGGCCTTTGGAAAATCCTAAATCACAAATAACTAGGGAAAAAACAAGCTGCAGCCTTCTGATACCACTGCCAGACCAACATCTGCAACAGCCTTATTGGGCCCCCTTCTCTGCTCCTCCTCAGCCTCCTTCTCTTGGCATGCTTACTGACAGACTCCTCCACTCACTGGTACTAGTAACAATTTACTACAGCCCTACTGCAGTCAAATACAGAGATCTGATTGTGTGTCTAAAGTCATTCTGGTTTCAGTGTATCTAAATGCATAATTGGACAAACACTGTGACCTTGGAAGAACATTGTCCATCCGCGAGACGGTGATTAAAGACAAGGACTGCCAAGTTAAACATACCTTCTTTACACAAATGATTGTGGATTAATACAAGAACGGTATCTCTGCAGAGTCTTTTAAAAGGTTAATAACATTAATGAGATATATACACAACATTAATGATATCTATATATACACATACACAGATATATGTCTTTTTAAATATCTATCTACCTATCTCAAGGTACTGGCAAATAGATGCAGTAAAGGAAATAGAAAAAAACAGCAAAAACTGGCCATCAAAAAGCATACTTATTGGCTGTAGCAGAACCAAAATGCATCCTGCACATCCCAATTTTTCATCCTATATTAAGCCCACATTCCATGCTCAAATTTCACAGCAGAGCTGGGGCAGTTACTTCTTGTGCAACTTCTGCTCCCTGGACTTTGACAAGTTTACTGAAATCTGATAAACTAAGTTAGTGATAAACTAATGGATGTGAGACAATTAACAGGCAGCATAATAAGAAGTATTTCACCAAGAGCTACCAGTAAGCACAAAATGCTGGAGGGCAGTTAATGCACAACAGAAGTGGAGAGCTATATTGCAGACTGGGCCAGTGTGGGGTGTGTGGGTGTGCAGCACAAGAATCGTTGCCTTTCCATGTCTTAGACGTTCTGCTAATGCCAAGCAGTGCCGGGCCCCTGGCTGCAGTCCAACAACAGTTTATTGTTTACAGAAGTTAACCTTCATGTCATGTCTCTCGGCTTCTACACTTTGTATTTTTCCATCTTTATAATGCCTATAAGGATCACACAGTTTGAAGCTGAAAAAGCTCAGGACACATAGCAATGGAGACAAAAATGCACCTGGAAGGCAACAAGGTACTATTGGGAATACAAAGCCTGAATGCAGAATTAAAATGTCACATAAAATGCTCTAGTAAAAATCCCTCAGCTATAAGAGTCTACTATACTGATTGAACATTTTTTTCTCATCCATATAGTAAAGAGAAACCTTTCTCCAATTAAAACTGGATTTTTCTTTTTTTAGAATTACATGCCGATCTGCTGCAACAACAGACTTGTTGTGAAAACATTGAACAACATCTTACATATTTTTACAGCAGTTAGTTTTTAGCCTGAAAAGCATTTATAAACATTCAAAATAAGAAAGGATCTGCAATTCCCAGGCACTGAACTCTCCACCTGCCCAAGCCTGCCCTGTATCGGGCTCAGCCTTCCCTCTCCACCACCTCCATAGTCAGCACTCTCTGTAACTTCCCTGCGCAACACGTTTGTCTCTAGGCAAACACTTTCCTGGAGAGGAATCATTCTTCCTCTTGCAGTTTATTTTTCACTCACTTCTTGCCACTAATTTCAGAATTATTTTCCCAAACTGACTTTTGGAGGGACATTTTAAAATGATTAGGTGACATCCCCCTGTGTGGCAGTGCGGCCCCGCTCCTGCTGACGGACTCCAGCTGTCCCTGGGGTCACCGGGGAGGGGACCAGCCCCTGCTCGGGGGTCCTGCCCTCACCTCAGCCCCAGGGCTGCCTGACAGACCACACTGGGACCTGCCAAAACTTCACTGGGAAAGCCTGCTTCTGCTTCTCCCAAGAGACCTCTCCCTCACAGAATCACAGAATGGTTAGGGTTGGAAGGGACCTCTGGAGATCAGCCCGTTCAACCTCCCTGCTAAGGCAGGGTCACCTAGAGCAGGATACACAGGAATGTGTCCAGGTGGGTTTTGTATGTGTCTAGAGAGGGAGACTCCATGACCTCCCTAGGCAGCCTGTTCAGTGCTCTACCCCTCTCAATGTAAACTTCTTTCTCACGTTGAAGCGAAACTTCTTGTGTTTTAGTTTATGGCCATTGCTTCTTGTCCTGTCACTGGGCATCTGTGCACTGGCACCATCCTCTTGGCACCTGCCTTTGAGATACTTATATGTACTGATGAGATCCCCTCTGTCTTCTCTTCTCTAGACTAAACAGGCACAGCTCCTGCATTCTCTCCTCCTACGAGAGATGCTCCAAACACCTCATCATCTTTGTGCCCTATGCTGGACCCTCTCCAGTAGCTCCTTGTCTTTCTTGAACTGAGGAGCCCAGAAGTAGACAAAGTACTCCAGATGTGGCCTCACTAGGGCCACGTAGAGGGGCAGGATCACCTCCCTCAGCCTGCTGGCCGCACTCTTCCCGATGCACCCCATGGACCCTCCCGGCCGCAGGGGCACTGCCAGCTCATGGTCAACTTGTCATCCACCCAGACTCCCAGGTCCTTCTCAGCTAAGGCATTACCTGTAGGGACCCAGCGCAGGGGCCTTGGTAGTGCTGATTATTTTCTTCACGAGCGAGGCCATAGCTGGCGCTGGTGCTGCGGTCGGTGCCGGTGCTCCTCTGGGTGCCCGCCCCTCCCCGCCTCCCCTCAGCGCCGCACGGACGCACACCCCATCCGCCGCCATCCGCGGGGGGTTATGGGAAATGTAGTTCCCGCAGCTGCGCGCGGGAGGGGATGCGCATGCGCCATGCTGCGTGCAGGCAGCCGCGTGTGCCGGTGGAGGCCGCGCCGCGAGGGAGCGCCGGGTCTGTGGCGGTGCCTGTGCCCGTGCCCGTGCCCGCTGTGCCCGCGGCTGCACTGCCCGCCGGCCCCTCCTCGCCTCCCCCTGCTACCCAGAGGCTCGGCAGCCCCCGCCGGCGATGTCTGGGGCGCGGGAGAAGAAGCGGGCCAAGAAGATGAGGAACCAGCCGGCCAGCGTGACGCTTCCCGCGGAGCCGGGGCCCTTCGCCGGCGGCGGGAGCAGAGCCTGCCCTCCCCCAGGTATGGCTGGCCGGGTCTCCCCGTCCCCTCAGCCCTGGTGTGCCCGCCGTGGGAGTACCCAGGGCTTCGTCCCCTGTTGTAGACTCCTTTAGTCCTGGTGCTGCCATAAATCCCGTTAGTACGGGATTCATGTTAGTATGGGAGAATCCTGGAGTCTCCCTCTCTGGAGTAATTCCAAATCCACCAGGGCGCGTTCCTGTGTGTCCCGCTTTAGGTGACCCTGCTTTGGCTGAGGTGGGAGGTTGGACCGGATGATCTCCAGAGGTCCCTTCCGACCCTGACAAATCTGGGAATATGCGCTTCTCTGTATCATTCATTAGATTACACAACAAATCCTTGTGGTTCCTAGTCTTAAAATGAATTTGGATGTTATGTTCCATCCAGCGGCCCCCCTCTTTTTCTGTCAGACCTCGGAGCTGCAGAAGGGACTAGTTTAGCCTTCTGGTGCTGTGATAAATGCTCTGGTTTTCCCTCAGATCAGCGTGCCCGACCAGTTTGCCTCTTGGGGCTTGTGGCTCCTGTATCTATGGAAGGGTATTGATAGGAGGCAGCAGGGCCTGTCCCTGAAGTGGCAGTGTCTCTGAGTCATTGCTGGAGCATTTTGTTCACAGGTAACCTTTGTAGCTGAAGACTGAAGAATCCTGCCAGCTTGTGTGCCACATGCTTTTTTCGTCTGTGTTTTGACATGCATCCTGTATGCTTCAATTGGACCTCAGTTTCCACCCCACATCCTCCCATTTAGATATTTTGTTACATATAAACACCACACATGAAAGGGCTTGTTACTGTGAGACCTTCAAAAGATGACAAATTGCATCTTTGTGGTTGAACAAAAAAAATACTCAAGTGTCACAGTGTATTTAGGTGACTGAAGAGCTCCTAAGCAGACAGAATGACATTGCAAATTATGCTCAGTCATGCCTGAATATTTTGGAATATCATTACAGCAGTACTGCCAGATTAAACACATTTTTCTAACTTTATTTGTAGCAGGGAACTTCTAAGATTACGTGGTTATGTTTTTCTATTAAATAGAGTGGATTTTCATCCATGTAACATTCTTTGGTAGTGTTACTATCTCAGTTTTACAGGGCTATTTTGTAGAAAGAGGAAAGAAAAATTCTAAATAGGAGTTATAAAACTATGAATATCCATAGAAGCTGAAATAATTTAAATTTTATTTAGGTGTTAAGTCATTTACTGCTTTTTGAAACACTCTTCCATATTCTGATTAAAATTTTTAGTTCCTCTATGGAGAGGGTGTGTTTGTGATATGAGATATTTTTGGGCTGTAAGCCTACACAGATTTGCTGTCTGAGGCAGCTTCCATCCCTCTTTCCTAACTATTTCCTTCTCACCTTCACCTCAGTGCCTGGACAGTGCTTCTCTCAGCCACGTGGAAAAACTAGGTAAAGGAGTTGTTCTGCATAAAAGCTGATACCCGTTTTCCACACTAAATTAATTTTTTAGCTGTACTGCTGCAGTTCTGCTTGATTTGTGGTTGCAGCAGCCTGTAACAGCATTGCTACTGAACATAAAACTTCAGCTTCTTGCTTTTTTGAAATGGAAAAAGGAGGTTCTTTGCTGTTTTTAATTCACATAAATTGATGCTGCTGGAGGTGAATCTGCTCCTGGCTGTTCTTCATGCCAATGGTAGCATTTTTGGGATGAAAGGACAGGCTTATCTCACCCCATTTCTCTGCACATACAGATTGATTTTTCACTAGAGAAGTCCCTGAACTATATGGCCCCATGTTCTCTCAAGCACTCATCTTGATGAAGTGGGTGGGGTGATGGGAATGGCTGTCTGGGCCCTTTTTAGTTAGGTTGTCCAGCTTGAACAGCCTGAGAATCAAGCTATACTAGAAATCCTAAGCAAGACTTAACTGACTATAAAGTAATCTAAACTAATATATAGTATTAGTTAGGCTGAATATACACTAATCACTGAATATGGACTTCAAGACCCTCTTCAACTTTAAGTACTGCTAAGCACTCTTGATATATAGTGTCAGAGAAGACTACATTTACTTACAGGAACAAAGGTCAAGGGGGAAGATGAAAAAATAACTCCTGGTTTGTACTAAATCTCTAACTAGACAATAATAAAAATCACTACTGATGTTGCATGGACCAAGTCAGGCTCTTGGAAGCAAAGTCTGGATTGGGTACCATTTTCAGAATAGGCAAAAGTTACTTAATCTACTGCAGGCTTGCTGCAGGACAGTGTAAAATTCTTATTTATTCCTATAAGAAAGAACTTTTTTTGATTTCTGATGGCTTTTTCAGTTATGTATATTCAGTATAATAGGAGGAATCTGCGCTGCGGTTTTATGAGGAAAGACTGTAGGGTTATCGGTTACTCATACTACTTTGCATTTCTCTTAACCTCTTTTCATCTCTAAACCTTCCAGGAGATGTTTGTTCTGAGCAGCAGCATCAGCAGCAGAAATTCTCAAATCAGTCAGATGGGTCTTCTTACAGGAAAGACGAATATTTTTCAGAAGGGCAAAGTAGAGGAGAGAGAGCTAGAGGAAGAGGAGAATGGCAAGGAGGATGCCAGAGCGTTTCTGAGGAAATGCCAAAATACATAACGGGTTTGTATATATGAGAAGGTCGTAATTTTATGTCCAAGACAATTTTTGCTGGTGATTAAGTTTGCTGTGTGTCTTTGTTTTTGTTCAAGAGCAAAAATTAGAACTGATTCTATATTCTTCTGTTTTTCCTGATTTTCTCTAAAACACAGAAGTAGTTGTGGACTGGAGTGAATGACCAGCTGTTGTTCAATGGGTCCTTTTGGACTTCTGAGTTGAAAAGTTACACCTGCTTGTAGTGAGGGATATGCATTTTGGTTTCTGTTTGCCAGCAAAATGAGTACCGACAGTCATCTGCTTTTAATGTAGCCAGTGAGAGTGATTTTACCCATGATGTAAGTTAAAGACAGCTTTTTGTCTCATACAACATTTATTTAGGAGAGCAGATTAGCTTTGCAAAATGTGGCAGTGCTCTGATAGTGGATAGACCTTCATAAGCTTAAAACAAGACCAAGATCTGGATTTTTACTTGATATGTAATGTCTGTAAAGTGATTACTTTTTCCTTTTTTTTTTCCATGCTGAAGTTCTTTTCATCTTTCTGAATACGATCTGAAAAGATTTTTATTCTAATTTAACAAAGAACTGTTTCATGCAAATAGGACTTCATATACCATGGCTTTCGGATTCATTCATGTGTAAATATTAGTTTGAACATATCTGCAAGCTTCAGGATATCTAAAGAACTGAAATTTCTTCAGTAATAATGTGTAGTACTTCTACGTTAAGAAGGTACTGAACTGATGTACTGGGAGTAATTCCATAATTTATGTACAGTATCCTTCTCTTTGTTTTTTGCCATTTGTCATGCTCTGATGCAGTCCTTTTCATTCTAGTGTCTACCTTTGCTCAAGCTCGTGCTGCTGAAATCAGTGCCATGTTGAAAGCAGTTTCGCAGAAGTCTTCAAACTCTCTGGTTTTCCAGACTCTACCCAGGCACATGCGAAGGCGAGCAATGAGTCACAACATCAAACGCCTACCCCGGCGGCTCCAAGAGATGGCCAGGAAAGAGGTATAAGTGCATGTTACAGTGTTTGATGTAGTGGGCATAGCTAATGCACAGTGTTCAGCTGTACATTTATTAATGTTAAGACATGTAATTATTTGCAAAACTTCCCTGGGTACCCTAAAGTTTGAGTGACATTTGGATACAAAATGCAAACACCTCAGTTTTAGGTGTTACCTCACGTAGGTCTCATTAACCACTTGGCTTTGTGATTGCTGGACATCTTGAAAATTATTAGAGTAGTGTTAAAAGGGCCCACTGCAGGAGGGTTTGTTCAGCTAGTGTGCTGGTGTCAGGTAGTCCAGGAGTCCTCAGTAAGACCTGTCTGCCTTGCACCACCACAGTTTTAGGGTGTGACCCTGCTGGCTCAAACCAGCATGATTGATGGACGGTTCCCGTGTTATAGCTCAAATGTGGGAGGTACACTGGGGTTATTGGCAGGCTGCATGCAGCTTGAGACTTACTTATTGACTATTCCTAGTAGCTCATGAAACTCATTTTGTGTCAGTATTTCAACATTTAGTCAGAAAGTGCCTATGGAGTTACTTGCTCCTTACCCCTTGTGGCCTTTGTGTATGTTTAAAAAAAAAAAAAAGTCAAAAATTGGTTTAGCAGGATTTTATTGGGAAATAATCTTTCTGATGTTTCACATTGATCACTTTATCATCTCTAGAGACTTTTTAAAGTGATCAAGTTTGCTTGGCAAATTTTCTGTGTATTAAGGTTGACTGATAATCACATTTATTGCATTCTTTTTTTCCCTTGCATTGTTTTTCTTAAGTTCTTTGAGACCTTATCGCTTCATCTTCAGTTCCTGAAGATAATTGTTAATGGTTCATAAATTACTTTGGGTACTTCCCTTGCATACACCAACTGCATGTTTCTTAGGGTTTGTTTTATTGGGTCTTCAAAACCCATAATTCTTATTTTACTGTCTTGGTTAGCATTCTTTTTGCTTTGTCAGTCATGACAAGAGATGCAGTTTGGCCTGTTTTCTGAGAACTGAAGGAAGAAGGTGTGGGCTATTTTGCATAATTAGTTATGTGCTCTATCCTTGTTAAATCTAGATTTCTGTAATGTCTTATGTTCTTTTGTGTCCTGCTTTTTTAACTCCTTTCATGTGACAGCTTGTCTAACTTCTCTGTACATGCTCACACTCTCCCATCCTTGTCTCCACTCCATGTATAACTCCTGGATATTTGAGATAATTTAATTAGCCCTGGTGCAGCTGTATTTCTTCTGTATTTTCTGTCTTCAGGTCTTTTGGTGTAGTTTGTGTGATTGCACAGGCTGTTTTATTTCATGCTTTTCTACAGCTTGTCATATCTCCATTATTTGCTTTTGTAAAGGTTCTGTCTATTACTTTGCAGTGTTTGAGGTCTGCATCTTCAAAGTTATCTGTTTCAATTCTACTGCATTTTCTTCATTTGTCTGAGATCCTTCACCTTGACCGTTTTCATCTAAACGTTTACCCAGACCATCTCTTTATCTCTTCAAAAAGCTTAAATATGTATGTTTTTCACCTACAGTACCACATCCATTTTTCTCTAACTGCCTTTCTGAACCAGTCCCCTACCATTGATCCAGTGGCTTGTATTACCTTCTCTGAGGTGGAATGATGGGTCTGATAGGGAAGATATTTTCTTTTTTTTCCCAATTTTTGTGGGTTGCTTCAGTGTTTTCAGTGTTCTTGGAACCAGCCTTCTAGGATTCTCCTTCCTTTGCTATTCTTATAACCAGTGGTCTGTTGTCAACTGTTTCTTGGTGAGTTTACAAAGGATATCCTAAGAATCTTTTTGTATCTTACAGTCCCTATTTCTTTCTACCACTTCTCTTCACAAGAAGACAAATCAAATGCTAGATTGAGTCAAGCCTTCCTCTCCAGCCCTGCATTCACCCATAATAATTCAGACATTGACTGGGTCTGGTTATCAAAAATTTGGCCAAGATATCACCATAGTTCTCTCTTGCCTGCTTCTATGTACTGTAGAACCCTTAGGGTCCTACCTGACATTCTGAGAGTCCGTACTGCTTCTGTAGGAGCTCAAATCTCCAGGTGATTTTATTGTCACATGAATTTGTTCATGTGAATATACTGATGTGTGGCAGAAACTTAGACAGGAAGTAGCAGATCTTACTGTTCCCTGTTAACTTTCTGAACGTGTGGGGATTTTGTGTTATGTACGGGTTTCAGTCAAACCTTGATGCACTTCTATGGATGTCGCTTGTGTAGAATGTTTCAAAGTGTTAGTTACCCTCGAGAATTGTCCAACATCAGAATAAAATATAACCTAATGTTAGTGCTTCCTGTATCATTATATTTCAGCCTTTTTCTTTTCAGAAGTTTGTTCTCAAGATTTACTTCCACATCTTCTCTTTTAAAAAACAGGCAGAGAAAGCTGTGCATCAGAAAAAAGAACAGTCAAAGACTAAATGCCGCAAAGCCAGAAGGCGCCACATAAATTTGGTGGCAGAGTTTAATCGTAGACAAAGAAAGAATATTTGGCTGGAAACACACGTTTGGCATGCAAAGAGATTTCACATGGTAAAGAAATGGGGATACTGTTTAGGAAACAGCCCTACAGAGAAGAGCTACAGGGCTTGTTACCGAGCCATGACAAAACATTGCCTTCTTCAGGTACAGCGTTTTACACCTGTTTTTTTTGTTATTTTGCCAAGGTGAAGTAATCAGCTCTTCATTTATGATTAATATTTCTGTCTCTTTGAAGTATTGTTGCGTCAGCTGTTAAAAAAACTGCTAAATATGAAATAAAAGATTTTATAATTGTAATTAAAGGTGATGAGTATCAGAGAGAACAAGATGAATCTTTAAAAGACTCTTATGGTAACTATGACTGAAAAACTACATTTTCAGTCTTCTCAAGATCCAAGAGGTTAGGTGCAACCCTGTATCATCTTCCTAAGCAGGATGCTATTGAAGAGAGACACTTTCCTCCATGTCCTTTTAGGTCTGTTGGTTTGAAAGGCAGGTTGGCCCTCAAATGAGAAATACCTGTCAGCTCTTATAACTAACAATTTTGACTTAAAAAGGAGGAGTCATTTTTCCTTTCTCTCTGACAAATTTAGGGGAATGGAAAGTTAATACTTCAGTGTAAATTGTGAAGCCCTGTCTGGTCCTTTCTTAACAGACTCACTTTCAAGAGTTATTCTCACTTTAACACTGTCTTCTTGTTTCAGGATTTATCGTATTATTGTTGCCTGGAGTTGACTGGTAAAGAGAATGAACTTCTGAAGCAACTTGGTCGAATGTGCAGCATTGACACAGGTAAAATTTATGTAATTCAAAAGAAAGATTCTGAATACACTAAAGGATGACCTGTCACTTTCCTTTTTTTATAATGTACCAGTCTCAGTAACAAAGTTGATACTGAGTTGTGATTTTGGGTGGAAAACATAATTAAAATGTATCATACTAGGACTAGACATTCTAGTTGCTTATTAATAATCTAACTATGGTACAACATCAGCAACTCAACAACCAGACTGACTTTCAATTTTATTTTGTTTATTAAACAAGAGATTATTTTGTTTTTCAGTAAGTGTCATCTCTTTTAGGATTAACATTTCAAGAAGCTAGTTGTCTGTCTGGAAGATTTGAGGGTTCCCTGTATCTCTACCGAGCAGATCGCTATCCTGAGGACATGCTTGGTCCTGTTACATTTTTTTGGAGACCCAGAGATGGGTCTGAACACAGACAGTTGTGGATATGGGTGCATCCAGCTCTAAAGCAGGTGGGTTTTTTTATATAGTTGAACTCCTATTTCTTTATGCATTGCACGGTATTAATGCTTAAGATGTCATTTGAAAAGTATGGAAGAGTTGGATATAATATATGACTTTAGGAACTAAATGTTGGAAAACTGTTTCCACTGTAACAATATTCATGTTCTGCAGCTTGTTTTTATACATGTGGTACAGAAGGTAGGTGCTGCTGAGGTGTTTAGTGTTTGAGCTTGTTAAAAATTTTGTAGAGTCACTTGCTTCAGGATACATGTGCAGTGTGATGTTGCTTGATTCACATCCTTTCCATTGCCCAACAGGCTAAGGTTAATATCACCACAGGTAATCATAACCTGATACTTAGCTATCAAGTTTTAAAAAAATTTTAAAAAGTAAAATGTTGTGCACCAGCAATTTTTCTTATGTTAATTTGCATGAGAACAAATTCTTAGTAACATTCAATGTTATTTTCAGCTTTTGTTAACAAGCCCTTAAATTCAGCAGAATTAAGTTTATTCCTTTAAATCCAAATAGGAAAACTGAATAATAGAGTGTAATTTTTTTAAAGTATACTTAAGTTTTGCAGTACACTGCATATCATCCTAATCCAAACTTTGTTTTTCTTAAGGACATATTGAGGGAGTTAAAAGCAATTTTTCAGTGTTCAGAGCCTGAAGAAATCTGTATTACTGAGCCTGTTACAACATCAGTTCAAGAGGAAAAACAAATGGAGGTTGTTATGTGCCCTGGCAAGAAAAGAAAGAAAGAGGATAAAGAAGGAGAAAAAGTTGTGCCAGTGAAAAAAATAATTGGTGACGGCACTAGAGATCCATTCCAGTCCTACTCTTGGATCTCACAGACTACTGGTATTGCAATCAGGTTTGTTCATAGTAGAGTCAGAAACTGTGGCCTATAACCACATACCATAGCTGAATTCTGGCTTAATGGTATACTGGGGAAAAAGAGTGTGTGTTGTACCTTAACTGAAATTTTTCTCTTTCAGTGACAGAAGCATGGAGATTCTCAGATACCGGCTGATTGGCCCATTATCACACTCGGTCCTTACAGAGACCCTGAAAGCTGCTTCTGTCCAAACAGTAAGGAAATTGGCAGTTTGGATCTTAGTGTAATTTTGGTAATGTTCCTAGCATGTGCAAGCTTGTTTTGGCTAGAAATAACCGTAAATTATCTAGCCTTGCTTATTATGAAGGCTAACCTGTGTATTACTCTGTTAGCTTCTCTGCATTGGGTCTCTTGATCAATGCTGATCTCAGGAAGAACTCATATCTGGATTTTAAGTGGGGGTAGAAAGAAAATAAAACCAATGGTGCTGCTGAGCAGGCTGTGTTGTTTCTGCTGTAGTGATGTATTCTGCGGAGAGGTCCAGAATAATTCATGTTCTCTTCGACAAACCCTAGACCATTTTCTCAAGCAATGAGCTAGAGCACTAGAACTGAAGGGCAAACTTTTTTGTGTTTTCAATCAAATATTCAGTTTCTCCAGGATTTGGGAGTTTTGTGTGCCTCTTGGCACATAGTATCACTGTGGATTTAATGGTTGGTGGGGTGTTTTTGTCTCTTGCAGTAAAAATGATGGGGGCCATGAAATTTCTGACTTTCTGTAAGAAATAATGACAGAATTAGGAAGTATTGTGCTTTGTTTATTTTTGGAACATGGGCTAAATTGAACAGCTTATTAGGGATTAGTGTAAAGTATAGGACTACACTGCATCAGGAAAAAATTATTTTGGTTTAAAACATGAAGGGAGAGAAAGCGACTGTAGTGGTTGAGGCAAACTGAGAATGAACTCATACTGATAGAAAGTAATAAATAACCGTTTGAGTTTAATTAGATGTGTTGTTTTCCAGGACATGGCAGATTCAGAGACAGAACGCAATAACTGGTGGGTAGAAAACTGCAAGGACTCTGAAAAAGTATCTCTTCATCAATGTCAAAGTGCTATCTTTGAGCTTCTGGAAGGTATTTGGGCATGTGGGTGCTATGGGAGGAAAGGGAAACTCTTAAAATCTCGTGGTCGGAATTGGCATGTTAATGAGTTGACTTCAGTGTGGACATGCTTATTTTTTGCATGATCAAGAGAGTGATGCCTTTGAGAATGTACTTAGGTAATTACCATGGCAGGACAAAGAATTGAGAAATGTTACATCGGAGTTTTTAAGGGAATTTAAATCATCTGTGTACTCCAAACTCTTAATAGATAAACTGAATCTTTTTTGTTATCTTCCTGAACTTAGATTTGAGATTGCTGATGGGATATACAGTCTGATGTACACTCTCATCCTCTCCCCCCATACGCTCAAATTAAGACAATAAGTTGTACAATACCTCCCCAGATAAAATGGTAGTCTTCTACTCAAAGTGAAAGTATTATACCTTGCTTTACAAATGTTTGCTTCTAATTAACAGATGTATATTTGGCTGAATTGCAAAGTATCATAAAGTTAACAACATCTCTTCGCTTTCTAGCACTGAAGTAGGTAAGGAACTGGCTTTGGTAGATCTCACACTGTGCTCGCTGTCTATCCAATGTGAGGCAGTTAAGTAGAGATAAGGTAAAACTTTTACAAAACATTTTTAAATTTCCTTTCTCTGGAAAACAAGTATAAAACAAAGGTTGCTGGTTCTTCGATACGTGCCAAATGCAAAGGATGAATTGAGTCGGTGAGCATGACCTCACTTCTATGCTTGAAACTAAATGCAAACTAAGTCTTGCGTTGCTGTTGTTGATTTCTTGGTCTTGGACATTTAACAAGCATTGGTGAGTTTTCAAAGCATTAAATAGAGTACTCTGGATTGCTTTGCTGGCTTAGTGGTGTCACATCCCTTCAGTAAAAAAATGCACAAAAAAAGATCACAATTGGTGCTTTCATGGCATTGTTCATCTGTGTGTTTTAAAGGGATAAGTTCACCATCAGAAATGCCACCAGGTACCATACTTGGCCTAACTGTTGGAGATCCTCGAATCAATTTGCCAAAGAAGAAGACAAAAGCCGTGCCTGACTTTGAAAAATACCAAGGTAAAATGCCTGGCTTATATTCTGCTGCTTGTGGAACTGATAAAGGGAGGAGTTTCACTTTCTCTCTACACTTCTTTTCATTTACTGTCATCATTTATAGATTATCTCTTGCTGTTTTCCTCTAGCTTTTGATTTTCAGAATGTTTCCTTACCCTTTCCACAGCCCCTGGCAGAACAGAAACAGCTTGAAAGTTGCATAGGTTTTAGAACAGGAGTTGTGAGGGAGGGACATGCACCAAAGCTGGTCTTGTGCTCAGTGGAAGCCTCTGTCTGACCATACAGATGATCCAGGTTCGAATCCTGGCAAGGCCATCCAGGTGCTAAAAGCTGCTTAGTAAGTTTTTGTTTGCTGTTTAGTCTTCCTGATGCTGTTTATCTCTCCAAAAAGATATCTGCTATTCTGGTTTATAGTCCTACAGTGATGAAGGTTCTAATTCCATTGGGAAAAAATATTACCATTGCAGGATTAGTATTTCAGATGGCCAGGATGCTGGTTATGCTAAAAAATGAAAGATGCAAGCAAGACTTCTGAAATTTTTATTTCAGTGCAAAATTCAAGTTCAGCTAAATGTGAATGTTCTTGAAAAATGTGCAAGAGTATATACAGTGGGGTTTGTGCACAGTGCTGTGTAGGCATTCCCAATTAGGTTGAGTGGACACAGGTTGTCTGACCTAATATATGAAACATCCTAGCCAGCTAGCAAGCAGTAGCACACAGAAAAAGTTGAAAGTTCCAGAGACTTAAAAATACTTAATTTCCTTGGTGAGGTGTCTAGTGAAAGACACTAGAATAATCTAGTCTTACCCTTCACTTAAATCAGGTTGAACACCTACTTCAGTTACTGTCTTTTAGCTCTCTGCACAATTCTGTTATTTTCATTTTCTTACATCCTCCTGTTCTACACTGTGGAACAGCCTTTCTGTTAATTAGTTCTCAGCTAACTTTCTCATCATTAATGTTCCTGTTGGAAATGCTGCAGCATACATGACCTCTACTTTGGTTCCTTCCTTCTGGGAAGTAAGGTGAGCAATGTAGCACTTGTTTAAGGATACTGGTTTGAGCAGATAGAGGAGTTAGCAACTGCAAAAAGTAATTTGACTCCCTTCGTTCTGCTTCCCATGTCTGAAGATGTGTTCAAGGAGGCAAGATCAAGAGAAGGCATCTAGGTATTGGAAATGTCTAAAAGTATACCAGAGCTGTTTGTCCCTCAGGAAGGATGCCTTGGTAAAGAGGTAATGATGTAAGATAGGAAGGCAAGAGGACCTGTATGGTTTTTCCTGTGGCTAGCTAGAAATGTCCATCTTCAAGATCTTTCTACCTGGGGTTATCCTTCACTTACAAAAAATCTTCCAAACCACAAGTACTCAGAAAACTTGGTGTTGCTTTCTGGGGTTTTTTTCTGAGTATTTTTTTTTGTTTCATCATGAAATTAAATTAAAACTGCTTCTGTCCTCTCTGACCTTTATTCAGGAGAGGGAGAAGGTCCTTGTTCAGCTAGCAAGGGAAGGTAAACTGCCTAATAACTTCCAATTTGGATTCTGCTAAATGACTTAGTGTTACACATGACTAAAAAGTTTGAGTAGGCAGAAGAATGAAAGAAGACAGACAATACATCTGTCTTCCAGTAGAAAATCAAAAGGATGTCATGGTAAAGGGAGTAGAAAAGGAGAGGACAGCCCTACATTGTTGTAGTTAGGGAGAGAGTAGGAGGGACTGATGGTTTAGCAGGGAAAGTGGCAGCTGTTTTTTACATTTCCCACCTAAGTGACTTCGTAATGCTGTGGGGGAGGAGTTACAGAATTATTTACAAGCTCCTATTACACGTGCAGTGGGGAATCCTATGGCACGGTAGTTCATATCTCAAGACTGGGGTCTAACTGCCACTCTCCTGTTTCCCTCTGAGTATTCTTCCATATTAGTTGGAAGATCAAGTCCAACCATTAACCCGGCACTGCCAAGTCCATCACTTTGATTTATTCTTTTTTCCTGTAAGCCTCCTTGGTTGCCTGGCAGGTTTGCAGAAGTTAAAATCAGTTAAATATATGAAGGAGAACCTATTGCAGGCCACTCAGTGCAAAAGAATCACTTCTAACTGAAGAAGTTTGTAAGTCAGAAGAGGCAAGGAACTGGCAGAGTGAGGAAATGCAACACAATGTACTGATTGTTGTCGTGTACTAGTGATGTACTCTTCCCTAGGACTCTATTATTGGCCACACGTGGAATCAGATGAGTGTAATACCCAGCAAGAATTTCATCAAAAGCAATGTATTCCTGAGGATTATTCTAGTTTGACTTAGCATTTTCATTAGCATTTTTCCAATCTATTCTGTCCCCTCATTCTACTGCTTCTTTTGCCAGGAGTAACCCGGGAATGGAGACTGTCCTCCTCTTCACTTTTTTGAAGGGAAATTTGTTCAACCAGAAAAGGAAGGAATTTAATCATAGCACATAGCATACATCACTACAGCAATAGTATTATCAACATTTCCACAGTAACACCCACCTAGAAAAAAGTTAAACTTCTCTAAGATCTGTAATTCCATTTCAGTGGTATTAATTTTCCCCTTCTGTAAGAAAAAAAGATCTTTTTATGAGCCTTAGAACTACATAAACCCTCAGAGCCTTGGTTGTGTTGTAGCCTTACTCAGATGTGGTAGTATTTTAAGCTGATCTCAATTTAAAAAATGTTAATAGTCATTCATTTGCATTAATGACATGTCATTTTGGTTGAGCAAAAAAAGGGAACCATTTCTGTATTCCACACTTTTTTCCCCCTTTTGCTTCCCAGACACTCAAGTGCTATTAGGATTGGTATTAGTAAGATTGAAATGCCACTGCTTGCTTATGGTAGCAGATTCTGTATGTAATTTAGCCTTTCTTTTTCTTCAGTGTCATATAAAAGCTAACTGATTTTATTAGTCTTTACTAATTTGCATTTGTTTGTCAAGTGTGTTTAAGTAAGTTACAGCCATCATCTTTGCTCATGGATTGTCATACCTGCACTCTGTAAAATTGCTACATATCTGCCCATATTGCTTTTTTTTGCCAAAATGCTGTTCTAAGTTATGCCTGAGTAGTTTTTCCCTGTGGGTGACATGCTAACAAATCAAATGTAACTTCAGTCTTTCCCAGTTACTCTCACTCTTGAATGCATATGCATGTGTGAAAGCTGGGATTTAATCAAAGCATTGTCCTCATTTCTTCAGGCTGGAGGATAAGTCATTTTTCACTGCCTTCTCAGCAGCCTTATGCCTTCTGGAGTTCAAGGCTTCCTGTAAGCAGTCAATTCTCACATGACTGCAAATTAGTGCTATTCTTTTCTCCACTTCTGACATTTTGATATATATTTACTGTGGGAGAAAGCAAATTCCATTGCCTTAAAAACCAGTCAGCATGGAGTATATTGAAGCTTTTAAATGATACATATAGATGCATGAATGAGATGCATAGAAGGAAAATACACCATGAAAGATACATGAGCTGAAGTTCCTTCTGCAGACACACAGCCTGGGTCCTTGCCAGGTTTAGGTATCTGTCCTCAGTTGTCCTGATACACACACCCCTATGTACATAGGACTCTGAAACTGCTTATTTTTGGCCTTTCTTTTTCTGCTAAAGGAGGAAGGAGAATTTTCAACTCTTAGGCCTGTCTTCTAAGACTGTTCAGATAATCAGCTATGCAAATCAGAATAACAGCTTGAAATGGAGCAAAACCTCCTTCTAGCTGCCTGTATTGTCTAAGCACCACCACTGACACCAGCAGAAGTAGCTTGTCACTGAGCTTGCTGTGCTTAGTAATGCAACTTCCTGTTTCCTATACTACCCCAACATCTTTCCCTATCATCAGCAACTTCATCAGTAGGGTTATTTCCCCAGCAATCTTAAAATGTGGACTGAAGAAACCGGGAGAGAGGTAAGAAATAAGGATTGGTGTGAGGGTTTGGGATTATGATTTGAATCACAGTATGGTTAGTAGAAAGAATAAATACTACAAGATCATTGAGGATTAAAGAGAAGAATGTACCAGGCTAGAGAAGAGTATTTTAAGGTAAGGAAGATATTGGATGTGTGATGATGATGGAGAGACTGACTTCAAAGGGCTTTCTGTAGTGGGAAAAAATATTTATGCCATTATAATATACAGTAATTGTAAAGAACTCCAAGAATATGACAAGCATAGACTGCCTGAACTGTGGTAATAAAAAGAAATGTTAAAAAAAAAGCAGAAAAAGTTACAGTGAATAATTTACAGTAGAAGGAACTAGAACATGTTTAAATAATTTAACATAAAGAGATTCTGGTGTTCACAAATGCTTTTTGTTCAGAAGATGGAAAAGGTTCATTCTTTACTTTATGTTTGCTTGTAATTATGTGCCCTAAGTCACATAATAAGAGTCAGGAAGGAATTCCCCACCACCATCACATATAGTTTTGTTGCTATCTTTTTCTTCCTTTGGGGCATTGATATTTGCTGTATCTTCAGACAAAATGTGCTTTGTTTCTAGGAGTGTTGAGCTCTCTTAGGTTCCTGATCAGGTTCCTGTCCTTAATTTTTGGTGTGAGAAGGAGTTCTTCTGGCTTAATTAGCAAGGATTTCCTTTTTAGCTGTATTGTTCTTATTTTGAAGGAATGTCACCCTAATCTGATAACTTCTTTAGCATTTTCTCTCACATAAATCTAACTTGTTAGCAAGAATACGTGGCAAGTATCAATTTGATAACACCATGAAACTGAACGAATGGTGCCATCGGTAATATTTCTTGCAAAGGATTTTGCAAATTTTAGTAATGGGGACATCTTAAAGAGTATGGATTTTAAATAAACAGTTATTGCAGTTATGTTTGACAGTGCCTGTTGTATTGTTATTACCACTGAATAGTCCCTGCCTTCTGTGCTTCGAGTCTTCGTCAACGTTACCTGGAAAGATTAGTGGAACCATTTTTAAAAGACTTAAGTAATTTTAAAAAACAACTGAACCCTGACATGTTCTGTTCCTGTAATGTGTAAGACCTTGTAGATGACAAAATGAGGAGCAGTCACTCAAAAGTTTTAATCACAGAACTATTAATAGGTTCATTGGATTATTTATGGATAAGCATTATTTTACTTAAAATATGGATCAACATGCATTACATACTGTACACTGAAGGCTTTTAATCCACAGATCACTAAAGGTAGGTATACACTTTCTTTGCTTTGCTTAGATTGCAAACCAGAAGAAGAGAGAGGGTATTTAATATTTCAACAATCGGTTTTAAAGCTAGAAGTGTTATTTATCTTCTGTAATGTACACAACTTTGATTTGTGCAGACATAAGGAAGAATAGTCCCTTCCTTGAAGTGCACTCTGAAAAGATCCAGAGAGGAAAGCTAGTGCTAAATAAGTAGTTGCATGCTAGTCATTTCCATACAAGTATTTCCTGTATGTACCTTTCTGAAAGGTAATACTCACTTTTCTTACAAGTTTACTTAGGCAGACTTATTTCAGGCTTTGTAATGTTCTTCTTCCTGATTTTCACCAAACCTGTTGAGTTTCACACCCCGCCTAAAAGGTCAAATTCCAGAACGTTAAAGTTGGCATGTAAAGATCTAATTTAGATTGCCAAAGGTGATGTTATTTGTAATAAGAAATACGTGTAAAAAAATGCCAGGTTAGTTCTTCTAACAGTTTATTTCATACTTGGAAAAACATGATAGGAACCTACTCCAGAAGCAATGATGCTTGTTAAGCTTTTAATAGTCTTTCCTTGGTTGTCTGCTACTTATGATAGTGGAATGATTTTGGAAATTTGATACTTAAGCCACAAAAATTGTTTGAATTTTCTTTAAAGGTTCTCTTCTTTTCTAGATAATGATAAAGTTAGGCAGCTGTACCTGGAGGGTGTACCCGTAGACTGTGCTCACAGCTTTATCTGGGACCAGGACATCTGTAAGAACGTCACTGAAAATAAAATCTCAGAGCAGGTAACTAAGTAGGTGGATTGCCACAGAGGAAATGGCTAATGGTCCATAGAGTCTATAGAAAGAGGCTCTTGAGACTTATATAAATCCAAGGTCGATCAGGAGTTTCCTAATGTCAGAGTATCCAGTTGCTGACTTGAAGTGATTTTTTGTAGCCTTTGTATAATGTTCTTGCACAACCATTGTTCACAATTTTGGTTAAAAGAAAGCCTTATTGCATTGTCTACAGGACTAAATAGTTGTAGGTTTATTTATCAGAAGAATTTGAACTTGGATTTTCCTACATCACCTTGTCTCAAGTGCAGTGGATAAGAGGGATAAGTGGCACAGAGAGGCTCTGGCCTTTCACTCGTAGCCAGGATTATTCTCCTGATGAAAGAACCGTGGAAGCTGGAAGGAAATAAATCCTCTGGTTCTGAAGTGCAGGACACTATGCTGTAGGCATTCTGGGCAATAACCTGTGATTTGTAGAGAGCTTTAAATTTGCTGTTGCTGGTTTGAAATCTGTCTTGACATTTTCATTGACAATGGAGGAGCAGCCCATAAAGTTCATGAGTGAATTGCACTTTATGTGGTGGTTCAGTCACAAGAGGTGATAAATTTTCAGCACTATTGTAATCAGAAAGAGTAAACACTTGTATGGCAGAAAGATCTGTATAAATATTCTCTTTACGAAAATTAGATTTGTGCTCTTTCAAACGGGCTGACATAGTGTAAAAAAAGCAGAGTACTTGGAAAATATTGCATTAGCACATGACAGTTATCAGCACAGTCTTTTTGTGGATGACAGTGTTTTTCATGCTGTCATGAAATTTGATGTTTACCTTATAAAACAGAGGGAGTCTGATGGTCTGGTTTTTATAAATATATTCTTAATGTGGTACAATGGAATATAACAACTGGTGATTGACAAAGCCTTGGTGCCAGCATTCTTTATGTGAAACTGTTTCATGACCAAATGTTCTTCCCATCTCTTTGGATGTAGTTCAGATTTGCTCTGTGTATTGACAAACTGTCTGAAAGCACCTGTTCAGTCTAGTCTTGTGCACAAATCTATAATACGAAGTTGCATTATTTGTTTTTCCTCCTTCATCTGTGTTGTACATTGTTTTTTCCCTGAGTTTCAGTACCTGCTCATCCATCAAGGACTACAGAAGTAAAAAGAGGGGAAAGAGGGTGTTTAATACTCTTCTAAAATAATTTTTCATACCCTGGTAAAATTCTGTTAAAATATGTAGTGTATTACTATCATATGTTTTCTAACTGTAAGCTCAGTTCTTCTCTGTATCTTGGAAGAGTATGGGAAAGAGGGAAAAAGAATGGTTACTAACTTCTGGGAAATGTCTCCTTCTCAGGATTTAAACCATATGAGAGCTCAGTTACTGGTACCTGGATCACACCTTGATTTGGGTCCTTGTGAATCTAAGATTCCCATACTGTTGGTGCAGCAGCCAGGGAAAATGGCTGGAGAAGATCGACCAGGATGGGGGAGTGGCTGGGATATCTATCTCCCAAAGGGCTGGGGCATGGCTTTCTGGATTCCTTTTGTAAGTGACTTTGATGCCAAATTGCAAGTAAATATGACAAATAATTTGGTTTAGATTAATTGATTTTAGAGAGTATACTTCACATTGTATAACCAATTCACAATTACAGGATCAAAACCCCAATATAAAAGAGCATGTATGAACTGGTTGATGGCTGAAGCTTGGCCTTGAAACCTTAAAAATAAAAAATAGCTTTCCATATCTTCTGTTGGGTGCTATGCCCATGTAGCATCTAAAAGCAGCAAATCAGTGGGGAGTCAGCAGAGGAAGCTGAAGCTGTAGGTCCCTGGTTTTGTGTTTCTGCAGGGATATGCCTCTAAAGAGAAATGGTTTGGTGCCTGCTGCCAATCTATTTCCAGCTTGGCTATCTCCACCTCTGTCAACAAATTGGTTGCCTCTGATTTGGGAGAGAGCTTGAAACACAGAGTTTGAGTTAAGCTTCAATACTCCTTTGATGCTGTTTGGAGCATCCTGCTTTGAATGTTTAGGTGGCAGTTTTAGTATCTTTCTGCAGTTAAATTTATGCTTTTGAATGTGCAGGGGCATTAATTGCAGTGATACCTGTGTGTGGTATAGATTGGGCAGTGACTGTTGAAGTATTACAACATTCTTGGCAATGTACAGGATCAGAACCTGTGAAATTATTTTCAGTTTTGTTGATAGTTTTTCAGAATTAAATTTAAAGAGCATTGCTAACATTTTTGTTGAAATAGGCATGTAGAACTGTAGAAACCATACTTAGCTTTATTTTTTGAAAGCTAAACTGTTAGGCTTTCAATTTTCTAAGGCAGTACCTTCTGGAGCATTAATGTTTTGTTTCAGTTAGGAACTTGGAATCAGTACAAACATTGCTTTTTGGGTGTTTGGTTTTTATAACAGATATATCAAGGTGTACGTGTCGGTGGCTTGCAAGAAGCATTAATGCATTCCGAATATCAAAGAACACCTCACATTCCCAATGATTTCCCAGACTGCCAGGCAGGAAGGCAGTTTGCCAAAGAACTGGAAACGAGTCTTCTTGAAAAATTCAAACGGTAATATTAACTTAAAAATTAATTACAAGAATGACAAAAATGAATACTACTTAAAATATTCCCTTAATTATCTGTCATTGTGTTCATTTAAACTTGAACCTAATATTGGCATCTTTCACTAATGCATTAAATCTTGTATTATAAAAAGAATCCTAGGTATATTGAACTCTGCTACAGGGCATATGAATTAAAACATTCTATTCCCAGGGACATGCTCAGTTATAGGACTATAACAAGGCTGTAAAACAATAAAATAAACAAAGCTATTCCAAGTTCCCTAAGCAGCAAGTGAGGCAGGAGGTAAGAGAATGTAAAAGCAGAATACCAAAGCACATACCAAGTGTTAAAGAATAAAGTGAATTAAGAAGTACATCTCAGTGTGTACTTTTAAAATATCAGGTATTCTGAAGTTTTCCTTCCTATTCACTGCAACAAACACAAAAGTCTTAACCATGAGTATGGAGTAGCTGGAAGTGTCCTCTGCACCAGCTGACGTTGGTTCTGCTTCAAGCTAGGAGGGGAATGTAGGAGGAGTTCAGAGGAAAAGGTGGTGTTGTCAATCACAGCACACAGACATTTCCAGCGTAGCTGAAAGGATTTGGTTGTCAAAAATACAACAGTGTTTTCCAGGTTGTAACTTTAAAATTCTTGTTCAATGAGATAACAAAGGGGAATGCACAGTTAACTTTCTGCTCTAAATACTTGATTTTGAAAATAGAAAACATCATTAGACTAGCAGGAAAAAGTAGACAGCCTTTTGAAGTGCTAAGTACTGAATAAAGGCCCAGGAAAGAAATATTCTTACCTACTTACTTGATGTATTATTTAGACGTCCACCTGCAAAAAGGGCAAATTATGTCAAGCTGGGCACTCTGTCTCCTTTCATCTGTCCTTGGGGGCAGCTGACAAAGAACTGGGAAGGAAGAATGAAAGCTTCAGGAGGCTTTGTACGTCCTTCTTTGCCACAACCTGAGTGCTGCACAACTGAAGGGCATAATGATTGTGACCCCAAAGCAGAACTGGTCAGAGAAACTTCCCCTGAGACTGGTGAGGTAGAGGAGACCATGGAAATAACAAGTTCTGAAGGTGCCCTAAAGACAGAGGAATGTTACAAGCACCCAAGACCTTGGTGAGAGAGATGAAACTCAGACAAGTGACTTCATTGTTCTCAGGTATGTCAAAATGATACACACATGTTATTTCTTTATTGGGAATTATTGAATTGAGGAAAAGAAGAGCCAAGCCTTGAATATTAAGATAAGGGAATTATTTGATCCCAATACAGTGAGATTAAATAGTTTTGCGAGGATCAGAATTTACTGTTGAGTGGAAGTCCTTTGCCTTTCCCCAGCAAACTTAGTGACTAGATGAAGTAAATTCCTGAAATTATTTTAAATATAACACTCTGGAGTTTACTGTGTTCTTAAAGTTGGCATATTCTGGCTACTTCCAGGTGGATGGAGCTTTTAGATGTTCATGTTTTTGATTTTAAAACTGTTGCTGTGAAAATCGTCTTGCATTCTCTTCTGTAACACATCATCACAGGAGGTTCTTGCACTCTAAAGAAAATAAAGAATCCCCTGCATTCCAGTGCAACGCATGAGGGCAGCAACAGTGTTTGGAAAGTGCCTGAATGCAAGTCTTTAATTTTTGTGTAGTTACTAGGGAAGAAAACATTGGAAGTTCTGAACTGCATTAATGCCACTGAAGGTTTTAGAGTATTTGTGGTTTAACAAGTTTTGGGAGTTTTAAGAAGTAATGTCACCTTCCTTCTGAAGAAGACACATGAATTCCACTCCCCCATGTTTTTTTTGTGCTGAGTGATCTGAAAACCCCAAGGCTTTTATTAGTCCACTCTTACAGATATGTGGGGTGCTGGATTTCTGTTGTACTGCTTGTTAATAACTATCCATGATGTTTATTTTTGAAAATTTTTAATAGGAGCGAGAAACTACTAATGCAGTTATCAGCCTGGTGCTATCCCACTGCTGGAAAAGATCGGCGAATCCGTCTTATTTCTCGACTGGGACAGAAGGAAATGACTGAAGACGTTTTTTTGCCAATCCTGATGAGCTATCCAAGGGCTCTCGTCTGGGTCAACTTGTCACTCCTGAGAAAGGGGAACCCTGAATTACACGCCATGATTTGCATCCCAACAGAAGATGACTTGCTGCATCTAAGCAAGGACAAACTCTTCTGTGGTCCTCAAGAGCCAAAACATCGTGACATATTTAAGGACAAGGTAAAGAGACAAAAAGAGGAAAAGAAGAAGAAAAAGGGCATTCCAGATCAAGACACAGCTGAAGACCATAAAGACCTAGTTCTTGGTCTTTGGTCAGATGCTCTCCCAGATGTTACTTCGCACTGCTCCAGGACTGTCTTGGGATATGTCACTCGAGGGGATTTTTCATTGGCTGCAGGGTGTGGAGAAGCTCTGGGTTTTGTTAGCTTGACAGGGTTAATTTATATGTTATACAACCAGCCAGCAGATAAAAAAGGTCTTGTTTTGCTAAGGACTCCAGCATCTTTACAGTACAGATTTGCAAGGCTTAATATTGAGGTTTAAGTAGAATTGCAATGCAATAGAGTGCCAAAAATACCAAAGAACGCCTGTTTTTTACTCTGTGACCTTTCTAATTTGTCTCAAATTTGAGGTTATTCTGAGCCCCAACATCTCTAAGATTATAAAATAATTAAAAGGCTTTTTAGCATTATTCAAGAAAATAACTAATGCATAAACAGACCTAGTATTACTTTTGATGTCTGCATTGTTAAGGATTTCTAACAGGTCATTATCATGATCTTATTTATCTCTAAAAAAGCATATTCTTCATTTTGCTCCTCAAAGCATTGGATGCTGTAACAATATACAGAAACCCATCATTTCCATTTTAGAACCCTTTGGTCAGATGGACTGTAACTTCACAGTGCACTTCCACATGTAGCTGCATGCAATCTGATCCAGTATATATAGCAAGTGGCTTTCCTGATTCCTCGTATCTGAATATATGTGGCTGCAGTGCAGAGGAGCCAAGTAGAGAAACTTAGAACAGGAAGTTGAATGCTTAAATGAAATGCAAATAATATGTAGCCCAGCTATATAATTTTGAATTATAGCAACTGGAGCTTTTAAAATCAAAAGCATATCAGTCTGTCTCTCCAGTCTGTAAGGTAATAAGCTTTGCAGATACAAATTTCTGGTGGTGGGTCAGCATACATTTTCTGTTAATAATAGGGGATATTTTTCTTCTTTATAACATGAGAGTATTTTTGTATGGAATGTGCTAGGATTGAAAGTTTCTTGATGTTACAGTACGGTTCATGAATTGTTGTTCAGTCAAAACTTGTAAAGTATGCTGGAGGATGAAAGGAGAAAGGTGTTTGATTTGACTGGGACAGCGTGTGTAGGTTGTTGGGTTTTGGTGTTCTGTTGGGGATTTTTTAATGATAGCCTTAAGCATCTAGCCATTCTTGAGTTAAGCAGCTTGAAAAGGAATTTACAATACCCTGAAGTTTAGTAGCAACATGATACAAATATATGCCAGTTTGTAAAATTACCCTGAAATTATCATGTACAAATAAAAATGTAATCTATTTTTGAGTCAGGAGTCTATTGACTAAGCTTGATTATTAGAGAAATTAAACATGGATAAGTAATGACTTTGTCTTTCTAAGTATCAGTCTGCAAATTAATTTTCTCTCTCACAGTTTTGTTTGAAAGTCTTAGGCAAATAGATTAATGTTGGCTGGAGTTGCTGGACGAAGGAGTTAGCATGCTTTACCTTCAAAATTATTAATATTTAGGACCATTTCTGAATTAAATATAGCACACACATGGGGAAGGGGGGGGGAAACATCTCTGATTGCAAGGGAAGTATTGGAAGTGGGGCTGGATTTGGGTTTTTTTTTTTAAGTCTTCAGAAGATGGATTGTAGAATGTGCGCCACCAGTGGGAGTGGGGGTGGCATGTGGGACAGAGAGATGGAGCCTCCAGCACAGCTTGGACCACAGGTCCGTGAGAAATCATACTGAATGGCTCCAGCCCTGCGCACCTTTGATGCACCTGATAAAGCAATCACCGTCCCAGAAAAGTCCTGAGAAGCATCTGCAGGAAAGCCAGCAGATGGCCCCAGAGGAAAAAGCTTGGTGCTGGCAGGGCTGGGATTCACACACTCCTGGCCCTGTGAGTGCTGCAGCCTGTAGGTATGTGTGAATAAGGAGCCCCTTAAATGTTACAGCCTTGCTGCTCTGATCAAGTTCTCTCATGGTAATAATCCCGGATTTAATGAACCTTTTGAATTGTAAGCCCAACTGAAATATTTGTAGGATCACACTTTCCAGAGCTGTGCTTCATGGGAAGAAAGAAGGGGAGGTGATGTTTATATGGTTTTTTTCCATCGTTGCCTCCCTCATCTTACTAGATACATATTTTCTTACCTCACTATAGGCCTGGCTTGTATGTGAGAAAGAAGGAGGAGAAGCCCCCCTTCTCCAAGCTATCATTTTTTCTTTTCTGCTTGTAGATCTTTTGTTCCCTGAATCTTTCCCAGGTTTTTAGTTTTTAAAAAAACATCTGGAGTCTTTTTTCTTTTCCTCCTATTGGTAATTTCTGCCAGGTTTTCATTTTGACACTTCCTGTTACTTTTCTTTGATTTCCATTCTTTATTTTTGATTTATGATCCTTGTCTCTGGTGAGCCAGTGAACAGAAACTGGAATCCAAGCGCATCCTGTTCTGTATATCTTGTAATATTGTTACACAGTTGTTTTCCTTTAAGTCAATGATTTATGCCTTAAGACTTCACTCCTTGTAAAAAGCAATGCAAACTCGATAAGTTAAAAATGCTCAAAACTCCCAGCCAAAATTTGTCAGAAAAGTACTATGACTTTATGTAGCTGCAAGGAAATTTTTATCTGTGGTTGCAATTTCCAGATTCTGAGCGTCTCAAGGGTAACTTAGTCATAAAAACCATGTCAACACCGGATAATCAAACTGTGGATAATTAAACCTGTGCTATCTGTGTATCAGCTGTACAGTATGTCTGCGCTCATCATGTTGAATCAGGTGTAGTTTACAGCACACATCTGCTCTTACTGCAGTTGCTACACGTTGGTTAACTACCCCAGAGCATCTGGACCAGCTCCTGTGGGCTGTGATACATGAGCAGTTTTGGGAACCTAGGAAGCTCTCGCCTGGTGAAAGCAGCTCTCACATGAGAGCTCTCCAGCTCTCATGATGTCCTCCAGATAACTTTCTCAAAATGGGTGCCAGCACAAATCCTTAGCTCTCGTTCTGTGCTTGGCAAGAGATTTTGGAAGTTAAAATGAAGTACAGAAGGCAATTTTGGCATTCTCTGTAGCACTGTGAAGAGGTTGAATGGTAACACCCTGTTCCTGTAGCTCTTTCTACGGCTCCCTCAGAGCAGCTGTATCAGACTCACCTGCGGCAGGGTCTTTCCCTGGTCTGAACCATGACTTGCATGGTAGTTTCCTGCCCCATTGACAGTGCAGTGACTGATGGGCCTATCAAGCTGAGAGTCTCCAAGGTACACATTCTTCACCACTGCAAATTCATAAAATGAGGTTGCAGAGAAGGGTGGTGATTACTCTGTGGGATGAGGTGAGGCGAGACTGGGTCCAGATTGTGTATTTGTTAAAGATGTTCAGGACGCTCTGGTTAGCAGCCTGTAAGTAATGGAAGAAGTTACCTGGCAGAAAGGCAGCTGGGGTTGTTGAAACAAATCTGGAAAAATAATTGACAGGGTGACAGACTGTTCAATGGAGGTAGAAGCCTCGGGGGATCATGGAATACACAGCCAAAGAGTTGTCAAATGCAGCATGACAGTTTTCTTTCAGTGCTCTAAATCTGGAAGAGCCAGATATGTCAAACCTGATCCATTCACATGTCCACGTGAAGTAGGTGGTAGGAACAGAGCTCGCGGGAGTAAACTACCAAAGGCAGGTTTCTGAAGCACTAAGACTGAGAAAAGCAGAACAGCAATAGCATTGTTCTATTTTCCAAGGATATAACATGCAGAAAAGCTCCACCCAAAATCCCATGTTTCTAAATGCTCTTCCCAGAGGTCAGCAATATAAACAGCACCCACAGTTTACCTCTTGCAAATTCAACTCAGCTGTACTAAAGTTCTTTGTGAACACTGGTCTCATCAAATCCCTGCAAGAGCAAGTAAACTTGTAGTGAATAATGAGAACTCAGAAAGGACAGAGGATATAGGCTGAAACCATTTTGTGGCAGCTTTGAAAGTCAGAGCCAGCTTAACGCTGAACAAAATAAAATTAATGAGTTCAAGGTAGTTTGCAAAGTAGGTGGAGTGACAAAAGACAAAATATAGTTTTCATTTATTGCATTGGGTCTCTTAAAGAAATACAGTTTCTTCTATAGTAAGAAAAATGCCTGCACAGAATTATTTTATTATTTTAAATTTTTTTTTAGACGCTCCATGATGTGCCTAACATCTACCAGCATCAGCTTGCTTGACACATTTTAACTGTCTTTTCATCATGGACTCACAGCAGTGCTGCGGTTCTGACAGCCTTGCATGGCTAAGCCCAGTTCTTAAGAAATAGAATAAAAAAAGACATGCAGGACACAGCAAGAGTAAAGCAGAGAACGAAAAAGCAATCTGAAGGAAGAGAGTGACTCAAATTTCTTGATCCAAATATGTGAGGATTTGCTGTAATTTCTAGAAAGGATGATGCAATTCAGTATTTCATTTCATCTCAAGATCAAATAAATAGCCAGGATGAGAAAGCTGTTTCAGCTCAGTCCTTCTCTCAGCATCCTGTTTCTTAGCCCTATTTCTTAGAAAAGATTTGTTGGTTTGGGTTTTTTGTTTTTTTTCCTTTTTTATGGGGGGGAGGCTGTTTTTTAAAGAGTAAAATGGCTGTGATGAATGGGAGAGCTCAAGCATCTGGAAACCCACATGCCCATCAGGGCTCACTCTCGCACATCACTTCTCTTAATTTCTGGGTTTATTTATTTTTCTTTTTTCCCACATTGGGCAATAAAAAAAAGGCTTTCTTTTTTTTGGCCTTTTTTTTCTCTTTTGTCCTTTAACAAAAGGATGAAATGAAAGCAAACTTGGACAGGTAAAACCTCAGTTATTTAGAGCTTTATCACTTAAAATGCCACCTCAGGAGGAGACACTCCAGTTGTTTTAACTGTGCCTCTAGTGATGAATCCTGTGTCTACAGTTGTAATTATTTATAAATACCACATATCTACTTCTGAAAAATCTTACCTAGGTTGTACCAGGTGTTGTCCAAGGCAGTTTCATCCATGGGCAAAGCTAGTTGCTCAGAATGAGTTGGGTTGGGTGAGGAAGACACATCAAAGACTGTTACTGTTCCTTGGGGCTCCAAAAATCCAGAGTATGTGCACAGAATAACAAATTGTAAATCTCCAATTAAAAAAAAACACTTTTCAGATGGACGGTTGCTTAATGTGGTGGGTTTTCATTTTTTTTAAAAGATGCATGTGGAAGTAGTTGTGGTACAGACCAGCAGGGATTAAAGGGTTAACAATAGATAATTTATTTTCCTGTAGAACAAAATGTCTTACAGGAATCAATTGCATCCAGGTTTTCTGAATATTTTTGCAATGCAATAATTCTTTTAAGTTAGTTGGCAAATATATGAAGCAGGTTCTAAATGAAGGCACAAAAATGTACGAAATCGGCTAAGAACTGTAACCAGTTGGTTTTGGTTTTTTCAAAGAGAAGCAGATGAAAATAAAACATTAGTGCATAGTAGTCCAAGGAAAGTCTTAAAATAGAATTAACTGGAGTTTCCATTAGTGTTTTAAGACTTTCACTGAGATACTGTATTTTGAGGAGTTAATTATTTTCATTCATTACAATAAATTATTTTTATAAAATAATTAGGTGTTATTTCTGTTAGTGTCTTTAAGAATTTACTTCTATGCCTATAGATGGCACACAGTGGCACAACTTCTAAAATGGCAACCCCAAAACTGCAGATTTCTGTGGTCCCTGAAGTTTCCCCAAACCTGATGCTGGTAGAGAGGAGGCTTCCAGGTTATTGCAGGTGTCCAGCAGCACCAGCTGACAGAGGCGCTGCAGCCTGAGAAAACAACCGCAGTAGAACGTGCTCCTGGAGCAGTGTGACAGCACCTTCTGTCAAAACCTGGGGAAGCCAGTCCTTCCTGTGCTGATGGTGAAGCTCTGGAGTCCTTTGGTAAAAAACTTTCCTTTTTTAGGTTAGTGGACATGCAGAAGACTAGTTTTAATCCTTTTTTGGATTATCCACCAAAACCAGAAATATCCCAAAATAGCAATTCCCTGCCTGAAGGCTTGTTTCTCACATCATATGCAATCAACCTCTTTTTGTTGTACAACTCACTGGTGTAAAGCCAGAGCTCACCAATCTTACAAGATGTGGCTGTGGAAGTGATTGCACATGGGCAAACATGACACGCAGGGTAAGAGGCTTTCTAATAAACATGCATTTAAATCTCTGCTTCCCTTGGAGCAAATAATTTTCTTTGATTACCTGAGGAGCAAAAGGGGCTTGACACAGCTTTAAAATCATAGAAACATAAAATAATTCATGTTGGAAGGG